TTAATTATATAATTATTGTAGGTATTTATTTACTAAATAATGCCAAATTTAATAGAAAATATGATACCAGATATTTTCAAAGTTTAATAAGATAAAAACTACACGGTAAAAGTATTTTATATTTTGCAAGACCAACCAATATACATTTAAAAAAATTTAGGCAAACTTTGAAAACAGCCCCTTATTGTGGAAAATTTTAGAGATATTTTAAATAAGGCTTTTTACATAGGGAAATGGTTAAATAAGTGTTAAAAGTGGGTGGGGTAGGGTTAAATTTTTATACATATTAAAAACATTTCTTTTAAAAACAATCATTTTACTTGTTTAATTTGTCACCTAAATGTCATTACTTGTTTCTTAACAATAAGCAATAGGAAAACATTTTTCATAATAATAATATTATAGATTATTTAGAGTTTCCTCATTTCTGAAAAAGCCCTTAGTTCAGTTTTAGTTCAGAAAAATGTTCATTACTCATAAACCACACGAAAAATTTTGTTTAAATTTTGCATACAGGTCACATTTAAGGCATATAACTGTCCTATTTTGTCAATTTTACAGTTCCTTATAGTGCCCATTAGGGGTGTTCTACCTTAAAACGTTTAAGTAATAGTTACTACACACGTCCAGGATACAGTTATACATAATCTCACAAACTACTCAAAAGAAACTATGATGTTTTGGCTTATTAGTTAATTGACCCAATATTTTAACAAACTTGTTGTCAGCTCTTGTTGTCGGAACCAAACGGCGTTTTTCATGGAATAATAATAATATCTTTATTTAAAGAAGGCAAGACAGGAAGATATACCATCGTAAAAACAAATAACATATCTTACTTCTAAGCAATACACATACACACGCACGCACCACACACGCAGGCGTCCACAAAATAACAAATCATTAAACAATAACAACTATTCCAGTTGAGAACTAGTCCTGTAACGTGCATAATTTGATTGTTTTTTATTCTTTTATATATTGAATATCATTATAAATAAAATGTATATATGTCATAAAAACAAAGTAATTTTTAAAATCTTGTTTTGCTTAAATGTTGAATTTAAAACGGTAATGAGATATGTGCGTTAACTTGCACTATCTATACTGTCGTCAATGATAGGCTAAAATCTGACTTCAATAGCACATGGAAAAGTGCCTGTACCATTGTACCATGCAAAAGTGATACAAAATATAAAAGGAATTCTTAATTTGGTACTTGAAAACCTCCTTAAAAAAGTGTTGTTTAGGTCCTATGAGTAAAATACATTCCACTTTATAAGAAAGCTTAAGAGTTTTATACCGGGAACATAGTGATGTTTTCAATACTGTGAACAAATAGAAATAATGAACAGCTTGAGTTAAAATAAGCCCTCGAATACTTTCATTTTTACAGGAAGACCCGAATGTGCTCTTGTAAGGAACAATGTCCCACGCGCTGCAACCACCGGTGTCCCGGACATCACCGCAATCACACGCCAGAAATACGCCTAGCAACATTTTGTAAGCATTTTTGGAGAGACGGTATGAATAAAAATGTTAGATTTTACGTTTTATTAAAAATAAACTTTTCATCGTCTCTTATATTCTCATTCGAGAATAACAAATTTTTTTACAAAAGTATGTAAGAACAAAACTTGATATTTTAAGTTACTATAAAGTTATTAATTAAAAGTTATGTTTCAAAAATCGCAAAATATCATAGTTTCTTAATATGCTCCTAATTCTGATAGATCATTAATGTGTCCTAAAATTCATGTGTCACACGTTTCTTGAAATTTAGTTTAAATACACCTTGGGGATTATCTCTTTCAAAAGTGTCCATTACTTTACAGGAAAGGACTGTTTTATGACAATAGAGCTCAATTACGATATGACAGAAAAGTGCGTGTTTGTGTAAACTTAATTCACGCCATCTGTGAAAAGAAATGTAGTTACGATTTTGATTTAATGCAATTTATTCTATATCCGATTGCAATCAGATTTGTCATAGCAGTATAACATTCAACGAGCAACATAAATTAATGTGTAAGTTTTAATGTGTGGAATTTATTGAACAAAAAAGCAAATGTTATCGAGTAGTTTTGAGTAGGCAACAATACAGTATCATTTTCTGTAGAAATTACCTAAGAGGCATTCGAAATAGCACATAATGTACACATACATTAAGTTTATGACATAATATTTGACTTATTTTGCTTTTTCATAGAAATATTGACTGTGAAAGAAATGTTGCTGTCCGAATTATAATAAAGATCCGTCACTTTTTCAAAGCTGTCCCTGAAGCATTTCACTCAACTTTCTCTTTATTCATTGTTTATTCTTGTATAGCTTTTACTGCATTCGATCTATGTCCCGTCACTTCTTATATTGATTGCTCATCTACTTCGGCGTCAAACAAACGACTTGCCGCGGAAGCTCTCAAAGAATGATCTGTCAGGAAACCGAAGAGTCCTGCAGCTGTAAACTTGATAAATATTTGGTCATCGTCCTGGTAATCTAAGTCCATATCAACTTGTGAAAACATTCCCATAAATGACTTGGTCGGGGCTTAAACGCTTAAATACCACATTTATTAATAACACGTCATTACTAAAATCGTGAAATGTTTAATGTTTCATTCAATAATCGAGAGAACAAATATCAAGTAAGATGCATGGTGGGAATTTTTTATCAATATTTTTTTACTAACTGAATAATTTGACATGTTGGTGTATTTTAAGCGGCAGAAAGTCCTAGTATTTGTCCATTCCCGAAAAATAATGAACACTTGGCCCGTACGGGTCCTCGTTTCCATTATTTCTCGGGAATGGACAAATACTAGGCCTTTTTCCCTTACTTCAGAATCAGTATTTCTTCAAATAACAAATTATCTTTCCAAGAAGATAAATAGGAGTGTAGCATTTATAAATTTAGACTTGATTTAATACGTATTGCAATTTTAAAGAAAACTATTGCCATTTTAATGTATTTGTTTGAAATATTTAAATCAATTTAAACCTTCTGCAGTGAGCGACACATTATGTTGCTCACTGTGCCTGAAACAAAATTAAATACAAGACACGTGGCATTTCGGATACGCCTCATGTTTATCATTGATCTGGCCTATCTGCAAATATACTTCTAGCAACACATTGAGTTGGCTCTTTTTTTCAGATTTAATTATACCCGCAAAGTCATCAACTAAATTTGGAAATCTAAATGTCCATTGAATTAAGTATAAATTATACAAACATTTGCCTAGACTTGAAGTCTTCTACTTAGAATTATACTAATGCATGTATATTATTTGCTAATGTATGTAATAAAGGAATTTCTCGTTATATTTCAGGATTGTCTGTGTCTGCCTTGGTATACGGTTTTTATATGATGACACATTTTTGTCAATATTGCACCACCTTAAAAATATTTATTTCAGTTCCTCGAAAATTGTTAGAAATTCAAAGTCTGTAGAAGGGCGAACGGCAAGAAGAAGAAAAAGAAGAAGAAGATGAAGAAGAAGAAGAAGAAGAAGAAGAAAAGTCGTAAGAAATGGCCCAATATCTTATAAAGTATGTGTCTATCATTCTCAATAACGTGTACATTATTTCATTTGTCAAATAGTCCTGAGCATTTTCCAAAAAATGCATTTTTTTACATAAAAAAGGCAAATCTCATTTCCCTCCCGTTAAACATTTTCTTCACTTGGTCCTGTAGTATATAATTTAAAAAAAATGATTCTATGATTTTATTCTTCTTTGCTTAAGTAAGTTATTCCTTATATATATGTTTGCGCTTTAACCAATCAACTAATCGGATGTCCAACAAGTGTGAAATGATATCTGTTGTTTTACTACTATATTGAATAAACAATGAAAATATATTGAAATAAAACACATTACAGGAGATCATCGATAATTGAGTGCAGAAAAGCCCTTACAAAATATAGACATATACCATCAGAAATGTAGCAGGCATCGAACAGAAACAAGACAGTACTAAAACTTAAAACCTTTTTCCCGGAATTAGCCCAAACAATATTGAATGATAATCATGGTGTTTTTTGCTTGATGTTTTCAAAATCTAATAATTGTATTGGAATGTTTAAAAGCTAGGTAAAATAATCGTTCTTATCGGCCCTTCTTGTGTCTTGACTCATCAGAGTTCCTTTATTGATAACAAGATATATACCCTGAGGCTCGCTTTATAACAATTTTTTCTGCAATTTTCCGACTGCTAAATAAATACTCATGTGTCAGTATCATTCACACTCAAACACGTTTTGAATGTGTTTAAGGTATTTGATAATGGCTACCAACTGTTTAAGGTCATTGTGGTAAAAGGCCGGCTGAAGTTACCCTCTGACACATTTTATCCGTCGCACAAATTTTTAGCAACATTATTCATCTGAGCCAGCGGCGGACTCAATGTTTTCAGGAACCTGGGCATTAAGTGGTTTTGTCTTGTTGGACTTGATGCGATGCTATTAGACTTGTAATATTTCTGGACTTGGTACACTATTCAACTTGCAACGCTAATAGATTTGTGTTGCTTTGCTCCCTAAACCTGTTCTACTACCGGACATTCGGCATTCCTGGAGATGCCGTACTTTTGATACTGCTGTATTTCTAAGACTTGCTGTGTTTAAACACTTGTTATAATCGCATAACTTTGGTTTCTCCACTGATATGCGCCTAAGCTAATTCCACAATACAAAAGTGTCTTTCAAAATGCATACCTTTTTATTAGTTTTATAGAAAAAAGACAGTTGTATTTATGGACAGAATGACGTTATGATGGCACCACGTCATACTTGCTCAAAACAATTTCTTAGTCTTTTATTACAGTTAACATAATTATAGTCTAAATCATGTTTAAAACTACATATATATGTAAAATCAAATAAAAGTATCATAGTATAATGTAATGTCATAAAGTCTTAGGCATGACAGACATCGTATAAAACTTAAGTTGTAAACTTAAGTTGTTTAGATATTATTTAATTAAATTTAATGTAATTATTGGTTATTTGTTTAAAAGCTTGATTATTGTCCTAAAAAATAAAATTAAAAAGCCAAATACCGTAAGGAAAATTATATATATACATTTTATTATAAACAAATAATCAGCTTAGTATCTAAAAACATGCTTAAAATATCTTCATACCCTGAGATACAGGTATATTTCATATATTTAATCTAAGGTGTCAATGTATAAAAATTAACCGCTGGGTGGAAATACGCTACAATAACATATTCAGTTATAATGACGTTATTAAGACATCAAATCAAACATATACCAGAAAATGGAAAATTTAACAAACAGCAAGGAATATCTAAAAATTTAAAAAAGACTGATATGACGGCGAAAACATATTAAACCTATATCTTATAGATATCAACATCATCACCCCTCTTCATCTTAACATTTTAAAATCTACAAAATGAAATCTTATGGAAAAAATAAGTAACGAGTCTAGATCTACATTATTAATTTGAGAAGGTTTAAATATTTATTTTGTCAACACATGCAAACTATGTCAAATCAAACTGATTACAACAGAAATTATGTAAAGATTATATAAAGGTATAATATTATAATAAAATGATGAGGTTTTATAAACATGTTAAAATATTTAACAAAAGAGGTCAAAGAAAAACATAGATATAACTAGAAATGTGTTCATTGGACACGGGTGGCCACATACTCCGCTGTTTTGGCAATCTTATGACTCTAGGTTAAATACTGTTTGGGCTACACGAGACACAAATTGAAAAGTAAAATTAATTTACTAAGTCAAGGACAAGAACCTTACAAATACTGAATAAATCCACAAGCAAACCACAAGGTGCATAAGTAAACATGCTGACCAACATTCTTGTAAACTTTCAGGCCTACAGGTCAAATGATTTTTGAGCTATGCGTTAACACGTTGAAAATTGCAAATTTATACTAAGTCAAGGGCAACTGTAACAAAACTGAAATGATCCACATGCAAAACCCCAGGAGCACAGCTTCACAGTGATGTTCATCCCAGTTCAGTTGGTTGATTCTAACTCTAACACTCAAGGAACACATACGAGTAGCTAAACATAATGGAACGGTTTTTACTAAGTCAAGGGCAATTACTCTTGAAATACTGAATAAATCAACAATCAACCCCCCAGGTAGACAACTGCACAAGATACAACTACTGCCTATCAACAATTCTGTAAAGTGTCATGACTTAAAGTCTTATACTTTTTTTTAGCTAAACACGCCCAAGGTTGAAAAATGCAGATGTTTACTAATTCAAAGTCAATAACTCTAGAAATACTAGATAAATCACAAGTGAAACCCCAGGTGCATAAGTACACATGCTGATCAACATTCCTATTTAGTTTAATGCTTTTTGAGCTACGTACGACATAAATTTAAAATCGCAAAAGTTTACCAAGTTAAGGGCAATAACTCTGACAAACAAAATAAATCCACAAGCGAAACCAAAGGTACACAACAGCACATGCTGAACAACATTCCAGTAAAGTTTCATCACTCTTGGTCAAATACTTTTTGACCTACATGCGACACAAGTTGAAAATTGCAAATTTTTCAAAGTCAAGGACAATAACTCTACAAATACTGAAGAAATCCCCATGAAAATACGCAGGTGAATTACTACACATGCTGATTAACTTTTTTGTAAAGTTTCATGAGTGTAGGTAAAATACTTACTTTTCTTTTTTTTCCACATTCAATCCTTATACTATACTTTATCAAATGATATTATTTTCATTCTAACACGCGGCACAATTCAAACAGATAGAAATTAATGTCGAGTGCAATATAACACGATTTATGCAGGGCAAAATAAACTGAATGCTTACATGTCGTATGACGTCAGGCGTGAAGTTAATAAACCAAGTGACGTCGATAAAAATACTCTTACGCTTAATGTTGTTTAGCATATCTTTCATCAATTCTTTTTTAATAAGCATGTTTAAATGGAAATAGTATTAATTTTTATTGCGTTGTAGTATCATAATGCACGGTTTATCATTCAAATACTTTTTTATTAATCACTTAAGCCTTTCGACCGTGATTATATTCCTGTATATTTTAACTCGAACCGTGCGTTATTCTACACTCAACATTAATATTGATTTCCTAACTATACAATTATAAAAAAATAACTGTAAATATGGATATCTGTCAGTAATGTTAAACACTGTACTATACATACAGTATATATGAAAACACTCCAAAAGTTCGTACACAGCTTCAGCAGCAACAGCTGTGCAAATATGTTTTTGCTTATTTTATAAGATGCTTTTTGACGAAACTTTATTCCTCTTGTACTTGTTTGGACTTTTCATTAGTCGTCTTTTGAATATAGATGAAAATATTACCAACGACTACATGACTATGCACTTTTTCTGCAGAAAAAAAAAGAAACAAAAAAAAATTACATATCTAAATTTATTAAGTTTAGTTTTAGAATATACCATAAGCAGTTTGATTTTATTAATCTTTTAGCGATTCATTCAGAAAAGACAGGTTTGTTTACCGGACATGACCATCAGTACACTTAAAAAATCATATTATGACTTTCATCTTACAAGACAGGAGGAACGCTGCAAAAAACATACGCCTCCCCTATGTTGGAGGTTTGGAAATAAAAGTCTTTTAGTGTATAATAGTTTTAAAGTCAGGAATTAAAATATTGTAAAAACACCGAGTTAATTGCCTTTACCCAAAAGCTTTGATTAATTTCTACTTTATTTATGCACTTACATGTACTTGGATTTGGAGGCCACCAAAAAAGTGTAATGAATACAAACCTCTTTTTTGTCTTTAAAACTTGAAACTCCATCACTGAAATAAATATTCAAATTTAAACCAGCTTTTTTTCACTTGATATTAAAAATGCGTAGCAGTAGGTTAATGAGTCTTCTTTATGACATAAATGAACAAGCAATTATCATAGTATTGCAAGCAATACAAAAGTCCCGCAACATTCTCAAGGACCATTGTTCATTGAATTATGCCATTCTGGAAGACATAAATAACTTAAATCTTTTGAGGTCTTACTTTGTATGTTTCAAAGTAATGTGACAAGTTTCTAAGCCTAGTAAAGAAATAATCATTATAGATCTACAACAGATAATCAAAAGGTCCAATTTTCTTAGGATGAATATAGTGTTTCAACTTTTCTCTATTCTAAGTACATTTATTTGAAAAGTTCCAAGTTCTTTGAAAGCATTCTCAGGAAACAGTGTTAAAAGACGGACAGACAGATGGACTGACAGACATATCCTTGGTTGTTACCAGAATATAAATCAGTATAAAGCATAAAATAGAGATAAACAGAATCTCTAAAGAAGGTCAAACACAACACAATTGAAAATGTTGCAGGCTCGGTTTGATTGAGCCTGTTCATGGACGGTACTGCAAGTTACCGTCCACGCCCCCTAGCAACGGCTTAAGCAGAATTCAACATTTAACACGAAAATGGTGAAATTTTGAATTTAGAAACATCCGCAGATGTGTTCATACGGCGGTTATCATGGAACCTTCAATGTGACACAGTTGTGCCATTCCATGTAAAAGTGGCGTATGGTCCCCAAGTAAAAGAATGCTTTTGCCCTAAACGAGATAACAATGGGCGGAACTAAATAAAATGGAATTTTGAAAGGGGATCTGAGGTTATAAATCTTAAACTGATGAGAACATAACTTTTGAAATAAAGATTCTAGATTTATGAATATTGTTATACATGATGTAATGACAAAGAACAATTATGTTAAGTTTAATGTAGATACCATTAAAAGTAACAAAGAAGAAATGTGAAAAATAGCTATTTTCAAAGATATTTCTTATTGTCACAAAAAAGAAAATTAATAGCTATATAACAATTTTCAAACAAAGTTCAAAATGAAACAAAAATCATGGAAATCCAGGCGCTAGACTTTTAAATCTAATCAAATATGATGTAGGTGTTGAAAATGTATTTAAATTTTAAATTTAATCAAGAAGAAATAAAAAAGTTAAAGAATAAATGAGGAAAATTCAAAGTTTTAGGAGATAATTATAAACATTGTCATATTATTATGATGTGGAAGTTTGAAGTTTAAAGTAAATCCTTTAAGAAATGAAGAAGTTTGAGTAAACAATTTAAAAAATCTAACTTCCTTCAAGGAGGGTATAATTCTGAAAATAGTCAAACAAGAGTATTGCATCTTCTCACACATGATTTGAGTGATAATAAGAAACATATAAATGAAGTTTGAAGTAAATACATAAGAGATAAAGAAGTCATTAAAAGGCGGATAATTCTGATGATTTTGTGCTAGAGTTGTGAACCTTGTCACATATGACATGCTTCATGACAACAAACATATATTTGAGGTTTTGATAATAAATTATTGTCTGCTATGTTTCTTATTTTACATTTTTTTACAAAATGTCGTACGACACCATTATCCAGTGATTACCAACAGATGTTGAGCAGGATGGTGTGTGTTTTCACCGGGGCCAGAAGCCTTGTGGGGAGATTACCCAAAAAGGATTTTTAAAAATCATTCAGAAGGGACCTGAAAGATAATTTTTATTTGTGAACGGGAATATTTGCCCTAGCAACATTATCTGTATTGATTAGAGTGGGGCTATGCCGTGATTTTCCTTCTAACAGTGCTTGACAAAAATATACAACCTTTTATTCCAACAAGTTTTGGAGTCGCGCTAAAATGATGTATGACTATTATAAAAAAACTTTATTATTTTCTAAATTGATGACTTGGGGCATTTCAGTTGGGATTTGAACTCTGCTTGACCTAATGGAAGAAACTATCAGGCTTATGTATATTTTTTGAGTGACGTAGGATAGGTCGGCAAGGGGCATGAACAGACTTGTGGGTATATGCACTAAACAGGATTCATTGTGTTTAATCTTGAAATAATGTCATGCTCTATTAGGATCGGTGTTATTAAACTAGAAGTAACTATTGACTGACTTCCTTTCCAGTCTGCTTTGATGTATTGTTTTAGCAGTATTTTAATAATGACTCGCAATTTACATGTATAGGTAATTAAACTTACAAAATAGTCACAGGAATTTAAAAACAAATGTTAATTTACTCATACCGCAAATCATTTAAAGTGTTCATCTTTTCTCAGTGCAGGATAGCATAATAAAAGCAAAGTAGGAAAATGGGAATTATTCAAGTATTTTAAGATTATAGTGAACACATCTGATTGTTTTTGAGTAAATGAGGGAAACATAAGATATAAAACGGAAGATAATTACATATACTTAAATAATTAACTTCCAGGCTTTATTCCCTTAAGAAATGTTTTGTTAGAACTACAACATAAATTAAAATGTAAAGTTAATATCTTGAATAACTTTGACAAAATATCAAAATGGTTAGCCAGGGAAAAATCTTAGTCAAACAAAGGCAATCATTTTGTTCACTGCAGTTGCAGACTTATCTGATCTGACCTTGTGATATGGGATCACAATTTGGTAATAAATAAGAGTATAAAGTTTCAAACGAAAAGCTTTGATCGTCTCTGAAAAAAAGGAACTTAACCTACTAGTATTATCTTATTCAGGTTCCGGTAACCAATACTGACCATTACCTTTGATCTTTTGACATGAAAATGTTGGGGGTAGGTAGACGTCATCCGCATACAAAGTTTGTTGCTCCCCTGTCAATGCACTAAGATTTAATGGCTAGTTTATGGTGTCTTTTTACAAGACCCCGTGACCTTGACATATGATCGTTTAACTTGTAAATTAGTGTGGTATGAAGAATTTATCAAGGTGCATCCATATGAAAAGTTTGGAAAGCCTAGATAAAGTGCACTTTGCTTTTACCCAATGGTAGCACTGGTCCAATTGACCTTAACCTTTGACATATTTATCTGTTAAAAATTGGCAGGTTAACTCATAAAGGTATGTCCATATATAAAGTTTAACTAAAATGACCTAATTAGTGTTGATGACCATAAACTAAAACTTATCCAAAAACGGTTAAACAACGACTTAAAGAGGGTCATGACAATTGCTGTACTTTTTTTTGAAAAATTGAGCTAAAAGCATATGTGTAATGTTGCTGTTAAAACTCATCAAGATACATCCATAAATAAAGTTAAAATAAAATTACTTTTTTGTTATTGATTTACTGACCAAAATAAAAACTTAACCAAAATGTTAACCATACCGAAGAGTGGGTCATGACAATAGCTCTACTTAAAAAAACATTTGCGTAATTCATGATAGTGGTGAGAACAATTGCTGGTTATGAAAATATGCATTCAAAAAAATTAACATCGTACACGCTTTTGGGATCCTGATTAATAAAGAAAAGATTAAACGCGGGATGCTTGTCCGTCCAAGTTTGGAAAATGTATTATGTTTAAAAAATAGAAACCTGTAAATAAGATTTCTTGGCATTCTTAATGAATGAAAGTATTTTATTCTCTGTGAATTTTCATTTTATTTATAAGATAACGTTACCAGAGGAAGTAAACAATTTGTAATAATATTCACCCATGATTCAAAGATGGATCACTTCGATCTCTTTGGTTGTATGCCTTTTTTTCTTCGTCATACATCAAATCCGTGTAGCTCACATCGGGCCTTATTCTTTCACGTTTGTTTCTGAAGTATTACATATTTCATTTCATTTTTATATGATAATTCCTCAAAGATATATTCAAAGATTTAACTTAAATAATAACTTTTCTAAACATTCTAAAATATTTAAAATTAGAGCTTTTGATTAAGAAATTATATTATAAAAAATATAAAATGAAATAGCTTGTTACTAAATAAAAACATAAAATCTGGGACTGTTAATGAGTTAAAGAACACACATTTATTTCTTACTGTACGACGAAAGATCAACTATTTATTTCACAATGTTTTTTCAAATTTAAAGTAAATCAAGCAGAAATAATAAAGATAAAGCTTAAATGAGGATAATTCATAGTTTTAGGAGATAATTATAAATATTGTCATATTATTATGATGTGGTAGTTTGAAGTAAAGCCTTTAAGAAATGAAGAAGCTTGAGTAAACAATTAAAAACATCTAACTTCAGGGGGCGGCGGGGTATAATTCTGGAAATAGTAAACAAGAGTATTGCATTTTCTAACACATGAGTTGAGTGATAATAAGAAACATATATATGCAGTTTGAAGTAAATACATTAAGAGATAAAGAAGTCATTAAAAGGCGGATAATTCTGATGATTTTGGTGCTAGAGTTGTGAACCGGATCACATATGATATGCTTCTTGACAAGAAACATATATTTGAGGTTTTGATAATAAATTATTGTCTGCTATGTTTCTTATTTTACATTTTTTTACAAAATTTCGAACGACACCATTATCCATTGATAACCAACAGATGTTGACCAGGATGGTGTGTGTTTTCACCGGGGCCAGAAGCCTTGTTGGGAGATTACCCAAAAAGGATTTTTAAAAATCATTCAGAAGGGACCTGAAAGATAATTTTAATTTATGAACGGGAATATTGCCAAGGCAACATAATCTGTATTGATTATTCTACCAGGTTAGAGTGGGGCTATGCCGTGATTTTCTTTCTAACAGTGCTTGACAAAAATATACAAGCTTTTATTCCATCAAGTTTTGGAGTCGCGCTAAAAATGATGTATGACTATTATAAAGACTTTGTTATTTCTGAGTTGATGACTTGAGGCATTTCAGTTGGGATTTGAACTCTGCTTCACCTTATGGAAGATATTATCAGGCTGATGTATAGTTTTGGAGTGACGTAGGATAGGTCGACACGGGGCATGTACAGACTTGTGGGTATATGCACTAAACAGGATTTATTGTGTTTAATCATGAAATAATGTCACGCTCTATTTGGATTGGTGTTATTAGACTAGAAGTAACTACTGGAAAGAGATGCCGTATCTGACTTCCATTCCAGTCTGCTTTGATGCATTGTTTTCGCAGTATTTTGAATCATGACTCGCAATTTACACATATATATAGGTAATTTGACTAAAAAAATATTCACAGGAAATTAAAAAAAGAAGATTCATCTACTCATACCGCAAACCATTTAAAGTGTTTCTCTTTTCTCAGTGCAGAAAAGCATACTAAAAGCAAAGTAGGATAGGGGGAATTATTCAAGTATTTTAAGTTTATAGTGAAAACATCTGATAGTTTTTGAGTAAATAAGGGAAACATAAGCTATAAAACGTGAGTTAATTACATATACTAAAATAATTAACTTCCAGGATATAATCCCTCAAGAAGTGTTTTTTTTAGAACAACAACATGTATTCAAATGTAAAGTGATTATCTTGAATAACTTTGACAAAATATCAAAATGGTTAGCCAGGGGAAAAATCTTAGTCAAACAAAGGTAATCATTTTGTTCACTGCAGTTGCAGACTTATCTGATCTGACTTTGTGGTATGGGATCACAATTTGGTAATAAATAAGAGTATAAAGTTTGAAACGAAAAGCTTTGATCGTTTCTAAAAAACATGAAACTTAACCTACTATTATTATCAATTACAGGTTCCGGTAACCAAAACTGACCACGACCTTTGATCGTTTTACATGAAAATGGTGGTGGCAGGTAGAGTCATCCGCATACACAGTTTGATGCTCCCCTGTCAATACACTAAGATTTTACGGCCAGTTTATTGTGTCTTTTTTATAAAGCCCCGTGACCTTGACATAGGACCGTTTAACCTGTAAATAAGTGTGGTATACAGAACGTATCAAGGTGCATCCATATGATAGTTTGGAGGTCCTAGGTAAAGTGCCCTTTGCTTTTATGGCCAGATGGTCCGATTGACCTTAACCTTTCACATATTGATCTGTTAAAAATTGGCAGGTTAACTCATAAAGGTATGTCCATATATAAAGTTTAACTAAAATGACTTAATTAGTGTTGAAGACCATAAACTAAAACTTATCCAAAAAGGTTTACCAACAACTAAAAGAGGGTCATGACAATTGCTGTACTTTTTTGAAAAATTGAGCTAAAAGCATATGCACAATGTGGCTGTGATACACCCACAAATAAAGTTTAAATAAAATTATTTTTTTGTTATTGATTTACTGACCAAAATAAAAACTTTACCAAAATGTTAACCAATATCGAAGAGTGGGTCATGACAAAAGCTCTACTTAAAAAAACATTTGCGTAATTCATGATAGTGGTGAGAACAATTGCTGGTTATGAAAATATGCATTCAAAAAAATTATCATCATACACCCATTTGTGATCCTGATTAATAAAGAAAAGATTAAACGCGGGATGCTTGTCCGTCCAAGTTTGGAAAATGTATTATGTTTAAAAAATAGAAGCCTGTAAATAAGATTTCTTGGCGTTCTAAATAAACGAAATTATTTTATTCTCTGTGAATTTTCATTTTTTCTATAAAATAACGTTACCAGAGGAATTAAACAATTTGGAATAATATTCACCCATGATTCAAACATGAATAACTTCGATCTCTTTGGTTGTATGCCTTTTTTTCTACGTCATACATCAAATCCGTGTAGCTCACATCGGGCCTTATTCTTTCACGTTTGTTTCTGAAGTATTACATATTTCATTTCATTTTTATATGATAATTCCTCAAAGATATGTTCAAAGATATGTTCAAAAACTAAAATAATAACTTTTCTTTACATTCTAAAATAAATAAAATTAGAGATTCTGATTAAGAAATTATAAATTATTAACTTAAAAATATAAAATGAAATAGCTTGTTACTAAATAAAATCATAAAATCTGGGACTGTTAATAAGTTAATTAACACACATTTATTTCTTACTGTTCGACGAAAGATCAACTAAAAGGCAATGTTCATGGAACTTGAACTTTACCCATAAATGGCGAGAAAAAATTGTTTACCCAATGTAATCGTTCTTATAAATTGAACTGAGTAAATTATAATAACTCACATTATCAATTCTGAAATTCAAAACGTAAAATTTTTCCCAAGAAAAAATATTAAAATAAAGCTTGGCAATTTTTTAAAATGTTTATAAAGAAATGTTTAAGAGAAAGAAAATCTCGTTAGATTTAATTGTCAAATGAGAACATAGAAAACATTTTTCGTTCGTAAGAAAACCAAAACTGAAATATGTTCAATTTTGCTACGTAATATCATTTCAACTATTTGAATTAACATATTGTGACCTATATTTAGAATATTTAATTATGATTAAAATGTTTATCTAGTTTATATGGAATGGTAATGTAATATATACAGTGCAGTACACCAGATTTAGGAGCGAGGGAAATTGTAACAAGGGGGTCATTGGTCCAAAAGCGCTCACCATGGGGACAGGCTGTTATTTGTGTCAAAGCAGTGGCATCTAGTGTTTATTACAAGAGTCTGAACGATGTGTGCTAAATAGACCATACTTCATAGATAATTTTTATATTCACTATATATATGATCCTTATTTCATAGCTGTACATAAAAAACAAGAAAAAAGATCACTAGGTCAAAATCTAGGTCAGATGATATCAAAGATCCATTTTACTACTAAAACTGTACACATCATCCTAATTCAAAAGCTTGGCATCAAATGGCAAGAAAGAAGGTCACTTTGTCGTTAAAATTTAGGTGGTATCGAAGTTCAATTCTACATCTGATATAATTGTGCACATGGTCCAAATTCTATGGCTATATATAAGATTACAAAAAACGTAGGTCACTAAGCCCAAATTGGACAGGACTAATTTTGAGCCCAAGGCTTTAATTTAAACAATTTTGAGACAGGTTCACAAAACAATGTTCCATTTCAAATATCTAATCTTAAGCTTTCTACGTTTCTAAAACATTTTGTTAACGTATGTAAAGAATATTCATAACCTCAGGGCAGAGTTTCTTTGACCCTTGGGTCATCATATAAACAGTCTTTGTAAAGGTCCACAATATTTCATGCCAAATATCTAAGAAATAGCGTTTGAACCTTTGGAGGATTTTTTTCATAACGAAAATCAATTATGAACCCAGGGGGCAAGGCCAATTTTGAACCCACGGTTATTATGTAAACAAACTTGATGCAGGTTCACTACAAAATGTTTTATGTCTACCCTTTGAGATTTAAGAGAAAATGAGGTTTTACTATATTCATATTAGGAAAACCTATGATCGAACTGGATGGGGACAATCTTGACACAATAAGCAGAAGTTGACTCACTTTGGTAGAGGACCTAAAGGTTATATCATATTAAAAATATCAAAGCCATTGGTCATGTACTGTTAGACTAGAAGATTCTTAAAATTTGCCTTCTTGAAACTTCCTTTTAGGCCCGATGACTCACTTATGCAACAGACCGGAACCATTTGAACAACTTTAAAAAGAGACAACCCAATGATCATTCCCAAATATTTCATTGATGTGCAATTATTGATTTCAGATGAGATGTTGCTTGAACTTGTTGATGACGCAGAATCACAATAGTCCATCATGAGCACGTGCTCGGATGAGCTAAAAGGGGAAGCTAGGTTCGTCAAAACTATTTAACAGAAGTACTAACCTGATATGATTCCCCAAATCATTAAGGTTAACCATTTTTTTCATCATTTTGTACATTACTACTAAAACCTTCACAGTTGTTGTCGTGTATATTATATGATTGTTATAAATACAACTAGTTTGATGTGAATTCAAAATATTTCTACAATAGTTGATGTTAATGTATAAGCAAATTTTATGATATTTTTTTAGGCGAAACCGACAAAGTATTTTCCAACATTATACCCGATGCATGTATTTTGTTCAAATATTGGTTTGCATTGATGCCTTCTATACACATATAAAGTTATCATATCATACACTATTGTCTTCAGTATTCATTTCTAGGATAAATGGTTATTGTGACATTGACTCATAAGCATTGAGAAAAAAACTAACGGAAGATTTATCATCAGTTGTACTTGGATTGCTGAGGATGATATGGGTTGCCAGTTATTGTTCTGAAATATTTACATGTCTAAGTTTGATGTCATGACATCAAAGTAAAGAAAGGACAAAATATTTCATTTGCAATATTCAGCAAAGAATATACTTTAGAAAAAGACTGGCAAAGTGCAACTTACATGCTTCCGAGGGATCACTTTGTTCCCAGATTTACAGCAGGTGTCAACTGCTGTGTGGAATTGAGTACCGCTCAAGCCGGTGCTAGGGGGCATGAGGGATATTGTACTTATTCATTATCCCTCATGTACAGACTCAATCAAACCGAGTCTGCAATTCTCTTGTAATTTTGTTGTGATTAATGCTTCCGAGGGATCACTTTGTTTCCAGATTTTTGTTTTTCACACCATCAGGTGTCAAGTGCTGTGTGGCAGCTGTAAAAAGTTGCCCCGTACTTCACTTCAGTGTTGTTATATTTTTCTGGTCCTTAGGGATCATTGATGCCAGCACTATTAAGTGTTGAGAATTGAGTACCGCTCCTATTAAGTGTTGAGAATTGAGTACCGCTCAAGCCGGTGCTAGGGGCATGAGGGATATTGCACTTATTCATTATCCCTCATGTACAGACCTAATCGAACCGAGTCTGCAATTCTCTTGTAATTTTGTTGTGATTAATGCTTCCGTAGGATCACTTTGTTTCCAGATTGTTTTACATGTATACTTATCACATATTCATTAAACGACATATTATATTTTCATGAATATAACCCGATCTATTTGGCTCTCGGATGGTAACTAGGCTCTGTCGTATTATCATATAAATTATTGAATTTGATTTTTATTATTTGAGGAACTTTTCTTGACATATTTCTGAATTTTCCTATTTCATATGAGAAAAGTCAATTGGGATTTCTCACCAAATATGATTTAGCAAATTGTTTTTTGAATTTACATGTTTGATGAACAATATATACCACATATTTCCGCACAATACAACAAAATTAGTGCATTAATGCTGTCAAAACATTTAAATTTGTATTACTAGTATTGTCGACATTTCATTCTGTAAATAAGACTAAATTACTGAGATATCAAGAACCTTTCAATTTTGGAACTTACATATTAGTTTAAATAAGTGAAACAAATTCTCGAACGTTTTTGTTTTAAGTAGATTTAGTTAATGTTAACATAACTGGCAAATATGTTTGTTTGTTTGCCGATTTTAAAACAGTTTGGTTATTTCTCGGCGGCCGATCCACTGAACAAGCTTACTTGCATAACTTACTGGTGATCACCAATTTCTTCACAAATTACAAATTACCATTACATAACATTCTATAGATTTTGCATAGAAACAAGACTTGACTGTTGCAAAAGATATCTCTTGAAGGTCTATGGCCAAGTTTTTTCTGCTTCACTATTTTGTAATGTTTACAAGCAATTATCAAAATATTGCAAACAATAAAATTGTCCCCTACCGGTTGGAACACATCAAGAGAAGTATTTTGGCATCATATTAAATGACAATGGCAATACAATTTTTGTGGAAGATATGAATGAACTTTTGAGGTTTAAGTTTGTGTCTCATCGTAGTGTGTTAAGTTTCTTTGCCTATTAAGGAAATTGTTTTGATACAACGAGAATCAAAAGATCAAATTTTTCTCAGGAATAGCATGTTTAACCAGTTTCATCTTTGCTCTATTTTAAGTGATTTTTTGGGAAAAAATTCCAAACTCTAAAAGCGATTTTAGGATTTAGATTTTAGGAACGGACTGACAGACAATGTGCAAATCTTTAAGTCTTTCTGTAAAAGCAACAATTTAAATTTAAACAATTTAAACAATTCAATGTCAAATATGGAAAATTTTCTGAAAACCCTAGACTTATAAATCTAAAAGCATATGATATAGGTGTTGATAAAAATCATATATTTATAATTTGAAGTAAAACCATGGAGAAATAAAGAAGTTATCGAAAAAACACAAGGACAATTCTAAATTAAAGGATGAGATAATACTGGATACATTTACGCTTGATTTATACACATTGTCATATTATTATTATGATGTGTAAGTTTGACATAAGTGCTTTAAGAAATTATGAAGTTAGATTAAAAATAATAATTTCTAGAAAAAAGTATATATATGTTCAAGTGGACATCATTCTGGAAATAGTCAAGCAAGAGACCTAACCTAAATCTTCTCGTAAATAATTTAGGAAATGACAAGGAACATATTTTCTAAGCTTCGAAGTTTGAAGCTCATATCATAGGAATTAAAAGAAATATATGAAAGAAAAATATTTATTTAGACTTTATAGAAAAAAAATTAAAATTAAGATGTTCATTACGATATTGTTTGTTGATTCTGTAGTATTTTCACTTCATGTTATATTTTCTCCTTATGTGGTTTCAGTTGTCTTTTTGAAAATGTTTTACCCTTAAAATATGATGTTTGCTTCTTATACATGTCTTTTAACATGTTTAAATGTTGTGTTCTTTAGCAGGTGTTTTAGGTCATGGGCGGTAACATTCATTTACCATTGTCGCCCATCAATTTGCGTTATGAAAGGAAACGTTAATTTTGCTGTGGTTTCAAGATTCTTGTTTAATCTTGCCAATTTAACAGGTGACTGTTACTTATATTTAAAATTTCATCTATGTTATATTTATTGATATTGAAATATATACCAGTATACAAAACTGAACACCAGAGGCAGTAAATGTGTAATAAATGATAGAAGCAGACGAGGTCTCAATCAAACCGAGTCTGCATTTTTCATGTAATTTTGTTGTGATTAATGCTTTCGAAGGATCAATTGTTTCCAGATTTTTATACTTCAAAACAGCAGGTGTCAAGTGCTGTGTGGCAGCTGTAAAAAGTTGCCCCGTACTTCATTTCAGTGTTGTTATATATTTCTGGTTATTCGGGATCATTGATGCCAGCACTATTATGTTTTGAAAAATGAGTACCGCTAAAGCTGATGCTGGATGTTGCACTTATTCATTATCCCTTATGTACAGACTCAATCAAATCGAGTCTGCATTTTTCATGCAATTGTGTTGTGATTAATGTTTCCGAGGGATCACTTTGTTTTCAGATTTTTAAGACTATTAAAAAGAGGAACTGACTAGTGACATTCTATGTGTGTCATTTGTGTTGACAAGTTAGTAAGGATTTGAGCTTTTGTTTTGTCCCAAAACGTTAATTTAAAACATGTCCAGATGTGTAAGAGGTATTTAAAACCACCCGATTGGTAATAAATAAATTCAATAAACTGATAATATTATTCTAAAATATGCGTTCAAAATTTGTTAAACATCCTTAACAGATCTTTCCCGTGTTTTTCTATTCATGCGCTATGCTTCGGTTTTTCTCATTTTTTATTACTAATAAGCTATATTAGAAGGTCTGTTCGCATAAAATTGAAATACATTTCGAATTTAGTTTTTTTCAGCAGATGAACTAGTGACATTCAGATCACAAAGATTTAAAGTCAAGTTATTTTAACCTTTATATATTTAAGAGCTAGTTGAACAAAAGAAAAAGTATACAATAGGGACCATTAGTAAAATGGTATTTAAGTTATACAAATTCACGTTAATTTACAAAGGACAAACATATCTCTATTCCAGGAAATATTTAAACAGAATACTTACAAATAGTGTCTGTCGTCTCTCCAACCACAAACTTCATAATCATCGACTTCCCTATTATAAGAAGAAAAAACTGACTCATAAATGCAAAACTGTTTGGGGTTAAGCACTAGGGTTAAAGTAAATGCTAATTTCGGTTAAAAGGAAGTTCAACACAGTTTTTAAAATTGCTTACTTTATAATTGTATATATGATTTTTCAGATTTCAATTCATCAATGTAATCATTATGATATTTATTAATTTTGCTGTCGTCTTTGAACAAATGAAGTTATTATGCCATGCATAACCGTTATCATCTTCATTCATATCATTGATTGGCATTCTGGCATTGACCTATGAGAATTAAGAAAAACAATCCTGAGATTCGTTAGTAGAAAATTGGGAAACTAACAAAACAAATATTATCCCGAAAAGGGCCTTCATTATTGTCTAAGTAAGATCTGCCGAACTTTTAAGTAGGTGACTCTGAGAAGATTGAAATCAATTCCACAGAGATGAAGCAAGTCTTTAGAGGTGAAGCAAGTCCTGAAGCTCATCAAGTAACTAACGTCTGACACTTTTTTAGCATCTTTTAAAGATTATCCCTATTATGTGGATTCGATCAAAGTCTTTGTGTTTCTTTGCATCAAATATTCTTAGACTTTTCACAGAAATCAAGTATTATCTACAAAAAGTTTGAAATTCAAAGAACAATTTTTGTTCCAATAGGCCTTGACGTTAATTTATTTGCCATCTTCTAATTATGAGTGGTTTGCCGATAAGTATTTATATCACATTGCATGATATTTCTCATTATGTAAGTGCTTGCATCTTCATTTGCAAGTACAAAGTCATTATTTGATACAAACTTAAGTAACTTTTGTTTTATTCAGTTAATCAATTTCGGTTTTCATTTGAGAAAAACGATTTAATACTTTTCCTTCAACGCAAAACCTATATCTTTTTTATTAAAAACTTTATTAAAAGGATTTAAAAGAAATATTCATGATTGCACATGTTTGTGACAAAATGTTTTAAAAATAAGTCGCAGAAAAACTTACTTTAGAATAATTATTATTAACAAATATTATAATTATTCTGCATATAAATCTTACAATTCATTGGGGGTGTTTTCATTTTGCTTTGCATTAATGTTTTGCATGCTTCTGGCTGGCTGAAGTCCCTCCTTGCGAAGAATAACATTTTGCCTGAAATTAAAAATGTGCAAATAATACCATTTTGCTGCATCTATGTGGTATACGAATATAATGTCGAGAGACTAAGAAAATTGTGTAGCATTGATTATGAAAATATAATATAAAGATATGACCCATTTTCTTCTTTCATTTATTTATCCGCTGTTCATATTCCATTATCAAAAGACTTGTTACCTTCTAGTAAAATTCATTACAACTACATCAGTATTTTTTGTTGACTAGTAAGCAAGGATTTCAGAATTTGTTTGCACGATTTCATCAGGTGTTAAGAAACCAATCAAAACGCCCGTTCTATATACGACGTACATTGAAACGTTAACACATCACAAGAGAGGTCTCTTTTTGGTGGAAGAATTGAGTTGGAGAAAGTTTTTGCATCTAATTTTAGCAGGACTCGTGAAAAAGGCGCTGTCATTTTATTTCTGATATTTGTTTACCCACATTGTTGAAGAATATAAATTTTGTAAAACGCGACTTTATTGGTCGGTATTTTGTGCACCTCTTTTGTTGTACATCAGTCCACCTGTTGAGAAGTTGTTGTTTAAAACGAACAAGATGAAACATGGATTTTGTTTGTTAGTTTGAGAGAGAGAGAGAAAGAGAGAGAGAGAGAGAGGGGGGGAGAGAGAGGGAGAGAGAGAGAGAGAGAGAGAGAGAGAGAGAGGGAGGGGGGGGGGGAGAAAAAAAAAGAGAGAGAGAGAGAGAGAGAGAGAGAGAGAGAGAAATCTTGCTTATAATCTATATATTGCTTATAGAATTGTAATAGGAAAGAAAAAGGAGAGTAAGTAGCCGAACAGGTCATTCGTTAGAATATTAGTACAGTATTCAGAGGCTTCACAGTTTTAGTCCACGGCAGTCTTTACATTTCTCAATCAGTCCCTTTGGGCGCTAGCTGCAAAATATTGGACAGTAATGGTGCTTATGTAAAAACCTAGTGTCGACATAAAATGGTTTTCATAACATATACTAACAGGGGTCTTATTTGACATATCATGCCAAAGCTTTTATATATTAACAAAAAATATATTGCTTTTCAAGTTTTCAATATTTTATCAGATACTTTTATGAAAATAATTGCTATTGTTTCAAGACTTTTATACTTAACAACAGCAGATGTCAAGAGCTGTGTGGCAGCTGAAAATAATTGCCGCGTACTTCATTTCAGTGTTGTTATATTTTTCTTGTCCTTCTGGATCATTGATGCGTTCACTATAAATTGTTGAGATATGAGTACCGCTCAAGCCAGTGCTAGGGGACGTGAGGGATGTTGCACTTCTTCATTATCCCTCATGTACAGACTCAATCAAACCGAGTCTGCATTTTCATTAAAATTTGTTGTAATTAATGCATTCGAGGGATCACTTTGTTTCCAGATTTTTATACTCCACAACAGCAGGTGTCAAGTGCTGTGCGGCAGCTGTAAATAGTTTCCCCGTACTTCATTTCAGTGTTTTTATATTTTTCTTGTTCTTCGGGATCATTGATGCCAGCTTAATTTAGTGTTGAAAAATGAGTACCGCTTAAGCTTGCGCGGGGGCGTGAGGGATGTTGCACTTATTCATTATCCCTTATGTACAGACTCAATCAAACCGAGTCTGCATTTTTCATGTAATTGTGTTGTGATTAATGTTTCCGAGAGAGATCACTCTGTTTACAGATTTTTAAGACTATTTAAAAGAACAACTGACTAGTGACATTCTTTGTGTGTCATTTGTGTTGACAAGTTAGTAAGGATTTGAGCTTTTGTTTTGTCCCAAAACGTTAATTTTAAACATGTCCAGATGTGTAAGAGGTATTTAAAACCACCCGATTGTTAATAAATAAATTCAATAAACTGATAGTAATATTCTAAAATATGCGTTCAAAATTTGTTAAACAACCTTAACAGATCTTTCCCGTGTTTTTCTATCCATGCGCTTTGCTTCGGTTTTTCTCATTTTTTATTACTAATTAGCTATACTAGAAGGACTATTCGCATAAAATTAAAATACATTTCCAATTTTTAGTTCTTTTCAGCAGATTTAGATCACAAAGAATTAAGGTCGACTTTTTTTATCTTTCATATATTTAAGAGCTAGTTGAGCAAAAAAAAGTATACAATAGGGACCATTAGTAAAATGGTATTTAAGTTATACAAATTCACGTTAATTTACAAAGGACAAACATATCTCTATTCCAGGAAATATTTAAACAGAATACTTACAAATAGTGTCTGTCGCCTCTCCAACCACAAACTTCATAATCATCGAAATCCCTATTATAAGAAAAAAAACTAACCCATAAATGCAACACATTTTTGGGTTAAGCACAAGGGTGTAAGTAAATGCTAATTTCGGTTAAAAGGAAGTTCAACACAGTTTTTAAAATTTGTTTACTTTATAACTGTATTGTATTTATGATTTTTCAGATTTCAATTTATCAATGTAATGATATTTATTTATTTTGCTGTCTTCTTTGAACAAATGAAGTTATTATGCCATGCATAACCGTTATCATCTTCATTCATATCATTTATATTATTCATTGAGAAAAACTGACTTCAGAATAATTATTATTAACAAATATTATAATTATTCTGCTTATAGATCTTACAATTCATTGGGGTTGTCTTCATTTTGCTGTGCATTAATGTTTTGCATGCTTCTGGCTGGCTGAAGTCCCTGCTTGCGAAGAATAACGTTTTGCCTGAAATAAAAAAAGTGCAAATAATACCATTTTGCTGCATGCATGTATAAAACATTTTGCCTGAAATAAAAATGTGCAAATAATACCATTTTGCTGCATCCATGTATATAATATAATGTCTAGAGACTAAGAAAAGTGTGTAGCATTGATTATGCAAATATAAGGTAAAGATATGACCCATCTTCTTCTTTTATTTATTTATCCGCTGTTCATATTCCATTCTCAAAAGACTTGTTACCTTCTAACAATATTCATCACAACTACATCAGTATTTTTGTTGACTAGTTAGCAAGGATTTCAGAATTTTTTTCGTCCGACAAGCGTTAATTCAAAACATACCCGGGTGTACAGGAGAAATTTTAAAACCATCCGATTGTTATATAAGTTATATAAACTGATCGTAATATTCTCAAATATGCATTCAAAATATGTTAAACATTTTTAACAGATCGTTCCCATGTTTTGTATCCACGCGCCTTGCCTCGATTTTTCTAATGTTTCATTTTATTACATTGAGCTATACTGGAATGTCTATTCTCATAAAATTGAAATACAATTCAATTTGAAGTTCTTCTGAGCAAAATATCTGAGCTTAGTCTCTGCTGTTTAATAGGAACTCACAACCTTTTATGTTGTCATTTGATACACATAGCGTAACCCCATGACCTGTGGATATGACTTTTTTGACCAAGGTTATTGTTTTAATAATTTATGTAGAGACCATCTTAATAATTTTTCCTGCCAAAACAGCTCTTACCCTTATGGTTTAAAGGAGATGATTTTATTTTTCTGTCAGACACTTTATCATCCGAAATAGTGCTCCGACATCGTCGGATACCCAAGGCCGAACCATTTACATTTATCAACCGTGTTTTTTTTAAGGTAACCAGTCAATAAGAAGTGTGTCTAAGACAGCTATTTCATTGGTTGCCGCACGATTTCATCAGGCTGTAAGAAACCAATCAAAACGCCTGTTCTATATACGACGTACATTGAAACCTTAAAATATCATAAGAGAGGTCTCTTTTGGTGGAAGAATTGAGTTGGGAAAACTTTTTGCATCTCATTTTAGCAAGACTCGTGAAAAAGGCACTGTCATTTTATTTCTGATAGTTGTTCACCCACACTGTTGAAGAATATAAATTTTGTAAAACGCGATTTTATTGGTCGGTATTTTGTGCACTTCTTTTGTTGTATATCGGCCCACCTATTGAGAGGTTGTTGTTTAAAACGTACAAGAAAAAACACTTGTTTGTTAGTTTGAGAGAGAGAGAAAGCTTTCTTATAATCTATATATTGCTTATAGAGTTTTAATAGGAAAAAGGAGAGTAAGTGACGGACAGGTCAATTGGTAGAATCTTAGTACAGTATTCAAAGGCTTCAGTTTGAGTCCAGGGCAGTCTTTACATTTCTCAATCAGTGCCTTTGGACGCTAGCTGCAAAACATTGGACAGTAATGGTAATTATGATAAACCTTGTGTCGACATAAAATGGTTTTCATAACATATACTTACGATAGGCCACATCGCCCATAGGTTGTGACCATACGATGCCATTTATATTCTATTGGAACTTTTTTAGCATGAAATACGATTAAAAGACAAATTTATTACAAAAAGAAATATACATATGCATAAACATACAATATATAAGCATATAATGTGGACAGTGAAAGTTTCAACCATGACAAACAAAGCATATAGAAAAAGTTTCAAGAGAGCACGCAAACTTGTGTAAAAAAAATATCTGAAGCCTGTTTGGGCTTAAGCTGTGATACAAATTGATAATATCGTTCATATATCTTTCCACCGACTGTTACACCCTCACACTACCTCAGTGTATTGAAATCTTACAATACCTGAGTTCCATGTTTTTTGGCACATTAGCAATGCGTTCATACCTGAAATTATATGTTGAAAGTTTATTTTTAGATTAAAATCAGTTTCATATGAACGTAAATATAGGTTAGCACTTTTTGATGAATATGCTTCCATATTCTGAATTAAGAATACGAATAATAGGGTTTTATATCTGTCAAAACCTGTTGAAAAGTTTCACATGCAGTTTTGTTAGACTTTAGAAAACTATACGAATCGATTTTATTTTTGGTGGACTCTGTAGACTTTCTATCAAATTAAGCTCTTGTAAAAGTGATTTTAAATGTGAAAAAATATGTAAGACATGTGTTCTATATTTATAAAGAAGATATCATCACTTAAATTGGTACTTCGAGTACCTTGTTAGAAACATACTTAAAATCTAGGATTTTACAATGTACAGAGAAAAAGAGAAAATAGACAAAAAAGAATATAATCATTGATTTAAAATATAATCGGTTACTATAATATATCAATCAAGTAATAAATTAGAGTGTGGTTTATTTCTTTATAAACAATCACGTGAAGATGTAATAAGTTTTAGTATAATACTAAAATATTGCATACATGAATTTAAAAAAGAAACATACATCCATTGTTTTACAATTTATTAATACATGTCTGTAATTATTACATGTTGTTGAATATCATTCGCAAGAAGAACATTTAGACCCATTGACTTATCGAACCCTTACGATATTAAGATAACTTCTGAACCTCTTGACAACTTTGACCATTTTTTAACATGACTTTTCGACACCTAGTGGGTAAGACATTTCGACACCTATCTCAATTTTTGTACTTTAGAATCACAGATACCTCGAGAAATAATTAGCAATTATTTTAATTTTAATTATTTATTTTAATTATTTTCATAAAAGTATTCTTCCCCGATAAAATATTGAAAACTTGAAAAGCAAGTGATATATTTTTTGTAAATATATATAAAAAGCTTTTGGCGGGGATATAAGATCAAAATTAACCCTGACTAAAAGTTTAAAGAATTATGATAATGATAATAATTGAAAATGCGCGATTTGTGCATTGCGTATTTATTTATAATCTACAACTTTCTACAGGTTTATAAAAGATTAAGTTTATTTTTCTGTGACAAACACATGCATGTTATATTGGCGATGAATTATTTTACATGTCTACTTAATTTATGTTATATATTGAAATGACTCGTCAAAGAAGCGATGATTTCATGTTTATGGCATTTACATTATGAATTAATTCAAAAACAAAATACCAATCAATCAATAAATGGTTTATCATGTGACTGTATTATATTAAATGTCAATGTATCAATTTTGTAAATATGTTACGATGATGTACTTATGGTACAAATCTAATAGAATAAACGTTCTTTTCTGTTCTGTTTTTGAAAACGAGCTTCATGTTTTCGATTCATTTTAATTTAAACGTATTTTGAGAATTACATGTTCTATATTTTACAACTATAATGTAAATTATGATATGTAGAATTGTAGTTATATTGACCAACAATGATATAGTCTCATCTTATATAATGTGTATCATAAAAAATAAGTTAATCACCAAAATGTTTTATTGCATCTCACATTTTATATACGCATTTTTTTCTCATAGTTTGAGTGAAATATTGCCATAATAAGCTTCAAAAACAATATGTTTGACCCAAAAACAAGTTTAAAAAATTTTAAAAATTTTTTAAAGTCAATCCCCATGTTTTCCCCAAATCACATTTATTTAAAAACCCGGGGTGAAAAAAAGCCCCCAAATTTTAAAAAATCAGTCACCTTTCCCTTTTAAAAAATTTTAAAAAATCGGGACTTGTTGGGTTTTAAAATTTTTTCCAAACCTTTTTTTGTTGTTTTTTGTTGTTGTTTCAAAAAACAGTAGCCCGCATTTCTTTTTTAAGGGGCTTTTTGAAATTTGGAAAAAGGGAATTGTTATAACAACAACCAACAAAAGACACCTTTTTTAATTTACTTCCCCCAAAATGCTACAACATTTTTAATATTTAGGGTTTTTTTCACAATGGGTTTAAAAAAGGGGGCATTTATACAAATTTAGATCAAAACCATAATTACCTTAACAATATCAACATATCTTTAATATTTTTTAAATTTTTACTATTTTGCCTTTGAAAAAAATTTTTTTTTTAATTTTTTTAAGAAAGTGCAAAACCCCCAATTTTTTTAAAAAATTTAAAAATGCTTTGGGAAAGAATGTAAGGGTAGTTTAAATAAAAAGGAAAAAAGGGGGCCCATAAAAGTTTATATAAATTTTTCCCTAAAATAAAATTCAGTAAAAACCAGTATTAAACCGGGAAATTAACCCATAAAAATCCCGCAAAAACTTTGTCTTATGAGAAAAAATTTAAAATTTTAAAAAATTAAAATTTTTGAGGGATAAAGGGCCCTTTTTCCCGTAAAGTTTAAAAAAGTTGGTAAGTGAAATCATTTTAAAAAAAAAATAAAATTTTTGGAAAAATTTTCAAAATAACAAAAGACTTTTTAAAAAGAAAACATTTAAAAATTTGATTACATTCTTACATTTCTTATAATTATCATTAAGAATTTGCATAGTTTATAAAATGCAGGCGAATCTTTCATTGTAAAAAGTTGTTCTTATTTATAAATATTAGGACGTCTACAAAAATAAGGTTTTATAAATTGTCTTCTTTCATTAGAAAATCTATTACATTAAAAAAGATAATGAAACTCATCACCGATTATATTTCTACAAAAAATGCTCATTCTTTCATTAACAGGTATATTTGATCAATTTCCAGTTTCAACTGGTAATCTATGGTTTCTTGTTCTGAATTTGACATAATTAAAAATCATTGCATTTTGTGAGTACGAAAGATAAGGTTCAATTCCAAAAGACTTTTTAAAGAACTATTGCTCGATTCATTTATCTTTGAATACCATTCATTTAAGAAAAGATCTTTTAGCTTTTGTTTTAATGTTAATTTTAACTATTTGGTACCGGGAAAATTATGATCAATCCAAACATTGTTGATACCGCATTTTATTAGTATTGATTTTAATTATAAATCCACGGATAATTACGTTCAAAATCATTATCATTAATATCTACTGTATTTTCTTAGCATATGAAGATATACAAAGTATGATAATTTATTTGGTATTAAACCATTTTCGTTCTGAAAGAGACGCGCCCAAAATGAAAAACTTTTACTTCTCTCCGATATCTACAGACAATGGGCATGCATCCCGTTTCACCGATATATGAAATAACTGGCCGTCGAACGTTTAAGTTTAAGGATATGTTTTAAAAAAATTTGAGTTGTACGCGTTCAATAAAGTCAAAGATTACCGTATCCCCAGATTACAGAACCATTAAGTAATATTGGTTTTAACATTTTTATTAAAAAGTTCAATATGTAAGTCAATTGGTAAATCTTATCTATTTGAATTTCTTATCAGGCTGTACATCGATCTTGTAGCTTGTTCTGCAATATTTGTCTTAGTTTTAACGAAAAGAACTATACTTCTGTTAAAAATATGCCGAGGTATTTATATTCATTTACTATTTCGATTTGTTCATTTTTATAAGTGAAATGATAATTTCTTTGTCTCCCTTTTGAAAATACAACTATCTTGGTTTTAGAAATATTGACTGTAAGTTTCCAAATATCGCAATATATTTCATATGTATAAAGCGCTTCTTTTAAGTCATTTGCTGTCTCGGCCATAATAACAGTGTCATCTGCATATAACAGAATAAAGATTTGTAAAAAAAATTGTAAAGCTCGTTTATATTCTGATCATTATGAATCAAAATTCCACGTGTATTACTATTATTTTGAAAGAAATCTTTAAGATCATTCAAATACATCGAGAAGAGTAAGGGAGATAAATTTTCCCCTTAGCGAACACCTATATTACATGAGAAAAAGTTAGATAGTTGAGAATTTACCTTCACACATGATTTAATTCCTTTCTACATATTTTGTAGTTCGAATTACAGAAATTGACAAGTGCACTGGGAAATAATGATAATATTTGCTTAAAAAAGGTGAATAACAAAACGACTTAAAATAACGTTTACAATTTTCGCAATGACATTAATGTTATTTATGATATTATGTATACATATATACATAACATCTATAGTTTCTGTTTAAATATAGTGCGTGTGTTTTCTATTTCTTAAATATAATGCTTGACTTGATTAATGACTGTCTATAACAAATTACGGCTTAAAATGATTTCACTTATTATTTAGTATATTTATTAGATTATATATAATAATCAATCCTGTAAACATACTTACTTTTTTTCTATATTTACGTCTTTATGCACATTATTTTTTCGCAGTTAACGTTTTTAAGTACATTATAGAATAAGGGGTCGAAATGTCCAGTCAATTTAAGGGGTCTAAGTGTCATCAGGGTCTAAGTGTCATCGGTCGAGATTTCTTAGGGGTCGAGGTGTCAAGGGGCCATAGAAGGTGTCATAGAATCTATCATTCAACCATTGTTCATTTTATTTTCTGTTAATATTCCCTTTGTAACAATAATTGGAATTTTGATTTTGTATAAAATTAATGCATTCTTTATATCTTTATAAGCATATTATGTTAGTATTCTGCTTGTTAGCTAAAACTGCAACATTTTCAATTTTGTCCTTTTTAGTGAGATTAAAATTGACCATTTTAAGTTGCATTAGCTAAGTTCATCCTGTGCTATGACCATTAATATGATCGGACATATTACATATACAATATTTGACGGTCGTTTAGCAGGAGATTCATTTTTTAGTTAAACAAGTCGATGTTTTTTCTAGTCCCAGCATAATTTCTTTAGAATTATTTAATGAAAGTAGGATATATTCCTTTCTTTTACAACTCCCGCATAACAATGTCTTTGCTGTGTTGTGCTTTGGCAGGGGTGAAATTACAATTACCGGTCTGTAGCTTATTAAAATAAACCCGTTTAATCACCCCGTTATCCAAATTTTACAGGGGGAAAAATTTACCCCGAATTTTTCAAAAACACACACAAAATAGGGAATTTGACCTTGTTTTTGATTCAACAAAGACAAAAAAAAATTTTTTGGGGAAAAAATTTCAAGGGAAATTACCCCTAAATTAAGATTTAATTTTACATGACAATGGGCCCTTTTTTCTTTATTCGTTTTGGGTTTTTAAACAGCAAAAAAAAAATTTTTTATTTTTTAAAGGGATTTTGGTTCATTTAAATTTAAAAATTTTTTCCCAAATTTATCCAATTATGACAATGTCAAATTATTAAATTATACAAAACATGGCAATAATTTATTTATGCATATTTGGACAAAACAACATCATTGAATTGTTATGATAAGGAATTAAAGTGGCAAATTGCTTAGCCTTGCTCAAATCGTCACGACTGTGTTTTTAATGAACTGATTAGATTCATACTTAGACTCTTTAACACTTCAGATAAAACCGTAAGATATTGACCCTTAGAACATGCAGACCTTAAAAGTCAAATAACTGAGTGCACATGAAATTGACCAAAACATTGGTATAAATAAACGAAATTCAATTTGTTTGTAACTGATTGATGGACTTTCTTTATACTTTGAAATTACTTAATTTTCATATTGAATAATTAAAAAATGATTTTTAACTTTACAAAAAACTTCTCTTAGTTAATATTTTTGCATTTGTTTGTAAAGGTGAACCTTGCTTGTGATATATTAAATTTATGTGTTTGTGTATTTATTATCTTATTACAGTGCTAATTCCAGATAGATTTGACTTTTGATACGTTTGTACTTTAATCCTCTCTGAGGACACATACAATAATTTAAAAGGAATTTTGCTGGAATGGAAGTGTCATATTTAAGGTTCCAAGATCAAATGAATGTTTTGTTTTTAATTTTACATTAATCATCATACATCATTTCCATGCTTCAATGTTGTGCTTCCTCGGGGCAACGGCGGCCGAAACATTCTTTTATTAATGCCGTCAATGAACAGGCTCCGTCAACCATGCCTGAAGCATGTTCACATTTTTGCAATCGTTAATGAATCCATTAAATATTTTACAGCAGGATTGTTACCAATACTTGAATTTTAATTGTTTGATATATTTAATAGAATTATGTTATAAGGTTATAAGTTGCCATTAGAAACCGTTTAAAAGCATATCTATGGTAAGAAAAGGCCTTAGAATCTGAAAATAAAAGCAAATCAATCAACAACAATATAAGTCAAAATCTCAAACAGACTTTCCGTTGAACGTACTTGTGAAATCAAGACAAATATAAACCAGCATGGTAAACCTATAAGAGATGCTTGTTTTCACTTGTTTGTTTGAAACCATTCACTGTTATGCCGGTAAGATATTATTGTTCGAAAAAGTAAAATAGAGGTCAATAACTCAGTGACTGTCTGAAAGATAAAAAAGTTATATTAAAAACAAGAGGGGATGATTCGGGAAGTATACACCGACTACTGCAATTAATGGAGAATTAACGTGGCAGACGCCACATGTGAAACAGTTAAAATCTGTTTGACAACAATGGCATAGACTTGATGAGAGGGATGGTAAATGGTCTATGTTTTATATGTATACAGATTTAAATTTGAAAAATAATGCAATACCTGCTTATAACTCTTAACAAATGATTTTCATCTATCTGTGATATTTCATCAAACATATGTCTTTTTCACGCATGTCAGCAGTTTAAATACTGTATGATCGTTGACCTCGAAAAACAAGTCATTCCAAAAAGATTTCAAAACATTTTCACCAGTTGCCGGTACAAACCGGATTATCTAGTTCCCGGGTAATTGTTTAGGAAAGAAACGATGTTCTACCAAAGTTTCCGCTTAACAGTTATCCGAGACCTAAATATTCCAATCAGTGACGTGACAACAACCAGTATTTGGTTCCTTTTCTTGCATATTAAATGTCAATCATATTTTCAGAAAACAGATACGATAGCTAACATTTCCAATTAGCACTTTTTCTTATAGTAGCTTATGAATGACCTTATTTAAAACAAGCAACTTATCTTTAAATTCTGTCTGATATTCAAAACAAATTACATCTTTGCCCTCTCCGCGAGCTTTAAATAACTTTCCGCTTTTCTAACAGTGCATTGGGATGGATAGTCACAAATCTGGTGTTTATTTTAAGTATGGCTTATGGTTTTAAACAAAGTTCTATCTGGGATATACTAGTAGCTACAATGATACGTACTTTCTGTCAGAATTGATTTTCTAGAAATATTTTTATCATTTTATTTTAGCAGCACAAATCTGATGAAATTCATTTTTTATATCAGTTTAAGATATCCACCTAAACTTTTATTTGTGCTTTATTTCATGTTGATACGTCTTTTCTAACTGAAGTTATAAGAATTTAAGTTCGTCAAAAGACACACTTATGTTTTATTTAACTGCGACGTCAATTATATTGTGACGTCACATTAACTGTATTTAACAGGTTCGTGCTGTTGCTATATTTATTGAGAGAAATAAAGAATCCTGAGTTTTGTTAGTAGAAGATTGGGAAATTAACAAAACAAATATTATCCCGAAAAGGGCGTTCATTATTGTCTAAGTAAGATCTGCCGAACTTTTAAGTAAGTGACTCTGAGAAGAGTGAAAGCAATTCCACAGAGATGAAACAAGTCTTTAGAGGTGAAGCAAGTCCTGAATCTCATCAAGTCCAGAAGCTCAGCGAGTCACGAAGAAAAAGTCTCTCTGTCAAACAAGTTCTTTTCGTTAATGAGACAAAGTCACCTTAAGTAGTTGACCCACACAGACTAACGTCTGACACTTTCTTAGCATCTTTTAAAGATTTTCCCTATTATGTGGATACGATCAAAGTCTATGTGTTTCTTTGCAATGAACATTCTTAGAAAACTTTTCACAGAAAGCAAGAATTATCTACAAAAAGTTAGAATATCAAAGAACAAGTTTTGTTCCTATCGGCCTTGACGTTCATTTATTTGTCATGTTCTAATTATGAGTGGTTTGCCTATAAGTATTTATATCACCTTGCATGATATTTCTCATTATATATTAAATGTAATATGCTTTGTTAATTTCAAATTTAACTTATGTTTCGGTTTTCATTTGAGAAAAACGATTTAATACTTTTCCTTCAACGCAAAACCTATATCTATTTTATTAAAAACTTTATGAAAAGGATTAAAGAAATATTCATGATTGCACATGTATGTGACTAAAACATTTATAAATAAGTCATAACGTTAGCCGCAGAAAAACAAAACTCATTTTAGAATAATTATAATTAACAATTATGTCAATCATTCTGCATATAAATCTTACAATTCATTTGGGTTGTCTTCAGTTTGCTTTGCATTAATGTTTTGCATGCTTCTGGCTGGCTGAAGTCTCTGCTTGCGAAGAATAACATTTTGCCTGAAATAAAAAATGTGCAAATACCATTTTGCTGCATCCATGTATATAATATAATGTCTAGAGACTAAGAAAAGTGTGTAGCATTGATTATGCAAACATAAGATAAAGATATGACCCATTTTCTTCTTTCATTTATTTATCCGCTGTTCATATTCCATTCTCAAAAGACTTGTTACCTTCTAACAATATTCATCACAACTACATCAGTATTTTTTGTTGACTAGTTAGCAAGGATTTCAGAATTTGTTTCGTCCGACAAGCGTTAATTCAAAACATTTCCGGATGTACAGGAGACATTTTAAAACCATCCGATTGTTAATGAATATCTCATATAAATTATATAAACTGATCGTAATATCCTCAAATATGCATTCAAACTATGTTAATTTTTTTTAACAGATCTTTCCCATGTTTTGTATCCACCCACCATGCTTCGATTTTTGTCATGTTTTATTTTAATACGTTTAAGCTATTATACAAGGGCTATTATCATTTGTATTTCTTCTGAGCAAAATATTTGAGCTTAGTCTTTGCAGTTTTATAGAAGAAAAAAACACACAACCTTTTATGTTTTCATTCGATACATATAGCATAACCCCATGACCTGAGGATATGACGTTTTTGACAAAGGTAATTGTTTGAATAATTTTAGTAGAGGCCATCTAAATGATGTTTCCTGCCAAAAAGAGCTCTTATCCTTATGGTTTAAGAGAGATGATTTTATTTTTCTGTCAGACACTATGTCATCCAAAATAGTTCTCCAACATCGTCGAATACCAACGGCCGAACCATTTACATTTATCAACCGTGGTATTTTTTACGATAACTAGTCAATAAGAAGTGTGTCAAAGACAGCAATTTCATTGGTTGCCTCACGATTTCATCAGGCGGTTAGAAACCAATCAAAACGCCCGTTATAAACGACGTTCCTTGAAACGTTAAAATATCACAACAGAAGTCTCTTTTAGTGAAAGAATTGAGTAAGGAAAAGTTTTTGCATGTCATATTAGCAAGGCTCGTGAAAAAGGCGCTGTCATTTTGTTTCTGACAGTTGTTTACCCACGCTGTTGAAGAATATAAATTTTGTAAACGCGATTTTATTGGTCGGTATTTTGTGCACCTCTTTTGTTGTATATCGGCTCAACTGTTGATAAGTTGTTGTTTAAAACGAACAAGAAAAAACGTGGACTTTGATCGTTAGTTTGAGAGAGAGAAAGCTTGCTTATTATCTATATATTGCTTTATAGAATTTCAATAGGGAAAAGGAGAGTAAGTGGCCGTAGAGGTCATATAATTATGTACATCAGCATATAATGTGAACAGTGAAAGTTTAAGCAATGACAAACAATATAGAAATAGTTTCAAGAAAGCACGCAAACTTGTGTAAAAAAGATATCTGAAGTCTGTTTAAGCCAAAGCTGTGTAAAAATTGATAATGACGTTCATATATCTTTCCACCGTCTGTTACACATTCACACTACCTAAGTGTAAATAAATCTTACAATACCTGAGTCCCATGTCTTGTGGCACATTATCAATGCGTTCATACCTGAAATTAGATGTTGAAAGTTAATTTTTAGATTAAAATCATATGAACATAAATATAGGTTAGCACTTTTTGATGAACATGCTTCCATATTCTAAATTAAGAATACGAAAAATAGCGTTTTATATCTGTCAAAACCTATTGAAAGGTTTCACATGCAGTTTTGTTGGACTTTAGAAAACTATACGAATCGATTTTATTGTTGGTGAACTCTGTAGGCTTTCTATCAAATTAAGCTCTTGAAAAAGGTGATTTAAATGTGAAAAAATATGAAAGAAATGTGTTCTATATTTATAAAGAAGATATCATCACTTAAATTGATATTTCGAGTATCTTGTTAGAAGCATACCTAAACTCTTGGATTTTATAATGTATAGAGAAAAAGAGAAAATAGACAAAAAAGAATATAAACATTGATTAAAAATATAATTACTATAATATATCAATTAAGTAATAAATTTGAGTGTGCTTTATTTCTTTATAAAACAATCACGTGAAGATTTAATAAGTTTTAGTATAATACTAAAATACATCAATTTAAAGAAGATACACTCATTGTGCTACAATTTATAAATACATGTCTGTAATTATTACATGTTGTTGAATATCATCCGCATGTAAGACATTAAGACCCATTTACTTCTCGACCCCTTACCATATTAAGATGACTTCTGAACCCCTTGACACTTAGACCCCTTTTTAACATGACTTTTCGACCCCTAGTGGGTAAGACATTTCGAGCCCTATCTCAATTTTTCTACTTTAGAATCACAGATACCTCGAGAAATAATTTAAAGAAAATGGCAATTATTTTCATTATTTTCATAAAAGTATCCGATAAAAAATGAAAACTTGAAAAGCACTATATATTTATATAACATATTTTTGTTAATATTAAAAGCTTGGGCATGATATATTAAATTAGACCCTGACTAAAAGTTAAGGAATTATGATAATGATAATAATGAAAATGCCCGATTTGTGCATTGCGTACTTGTTCATATCTACAATTTTGTACACTTCCTTTGGATTGTGATCAGTTGAATGGATAAGACATGTGTAACGTGGGCACTTGTTTATTTGGATTTAAAGTTATTTTACCAAATATAAATTGGATTTTTAATGGACTAAAAGATACATATGTCTTATTAATGTCAAACGGAATAAATTTCGGAAATGCTAATGAAAAAGTGGTTCAATCACGTAAAGAAAAACGCAAGATATTCCCCCCAATATCGGACTTTGTACATGAGAAAATAGGCAAAGCGGACAACACACTGTGTTTGAGTTACACATCCGTTACGAGTGGTCAATATTTTGATAGTGAACAATTGTCAAAAAAAAAAACAAAAAAAACTGACACATCCCATTATTTTGGTTTATATGGAATGGCTTTTTCAGTCAGGTGAATCTTGCTTTTGATAGATTAAATTTATGTGTTTGTGTATTTATTATCTTAAAACAATGCTAATTGTAGATAGATTTTACTTTTGACACGTTTGTACTTTAAGCCTCTCCGAGGACACATACAATAATTTAAAAGGAATTTTGCTGGAATGGAATGGTATTGTCATATTCAAGGTTCCAAGATCAAATGAATGTTTTGTTTTTAATTTTATATTACTCATCATACATCATTTCCATGCTTCAATGTTGTGCTTCCTCGAGGCAACGGCAACAGAAGCATTCTTTTACCAACGCCATCAATGAACAGACTCCGTCAACCATGCCTGAAGCATGTTCACATTTTTGCAATCGTTAATGAATCCATTAAATATTTTACAGCAGGATTATTACCAATACTTGAAACTTAATTGTTTGATATATTTAATAGAATTATGTTATAAGGTCATAAGTCGCCGGTAGAAACCGGCGGCGACTATATCTGTAACAGTTTAAAAGCATATATATGGTAAGAAAATGCCTTAGAATCTAAAAATAAAAGCAAATCAATCAACAACAGTGTAACTCAAAATCTGTCAAGACTTTCCGTTGAACGTACTTGTGAAATCAAGACCAATATAAACCAGCATGGTAGACTTATAAGATATGTTTGTTTTTATCTTAACTATAAAATACCTAAACGTTTTTGAAACCATTCACTGCTATGGCGGTAAGATATTATTGTTCGAAAAAGTAAAATAGAGGTCAATAACTCAATGACTGTCTGAAAGATAAAAAAATTATATTACAAAAATAGGGGGTGATTCTTATTTGCAACACTCTATCCTTCCTTGTATATAATGGAGATAAACATTCTGTAAAAAGGTTGGAGGAAGTTCAAATCATTATTTATAAAGAATGTATTTTCTTTGAACTTGTGACCTAATTTTTACACATTAAGATCCATTTCGTTCTCAACCGATATTTTCTACTATTATTAAAAGTTTGATGATGATTCCATGATAACTGCTGCTTGTAGAAATTAAAACGTGAAACTTTCGCTCAAGTGAGTTTAAACAGTAAACTATCAAATGCAGGGAACTTGGTAAGAATATACTCGTACTCACATATTGATGTCCTCGGATCTCGCACCAAAATATTCATGCTCATAACCGTATGTCCTAGAATTGTAAATAAATTTTCTTGCAAAAATGTCATGTTGTAAAAATATTTGGTGTAGAACTTTTAATTCTTATAAATTGGTGTGTCCCTGAAATGTTTCAAATACTTTGATATTCTTAATTGAATTTTGACATCTATTTCGTTAGATTAGAATTCATGGGCATTTATTTATTAGATAAATATTTGTTTCAATACATTTAATTGTAGATTGGTGCAAAGTGGAAAATGATATCGATTTCATTTTCACAATCAAAATGTTCAGTATTTTAACCTTAAGGTCAGAAAAATTTTGGTCAAATTTATTTTGGGATTAAAAGTAAATTTACTAAATCACTCTGAGTAAATTGAAAGTATTTGGATTAATTTATTTCATAAGTGATGTAAAAGTCACGAGTCATTTTATCTTACCAGAGGAGAATGCCACAGTTTTTTTAGTTGTTATAGTAGCTGTAGCAATTTTACCATTTTTTCTCTTTGCTGTCTTCACACCTGGACTCAACGAAAGCCATATACATGTACAATCTTGAACTGTTTGTCGTAAAGACAAACATTCACATTTATTTGGAAGAAAATTGCATCTAAATTGAGACATTTTAAATGGTAACAAAGTTATTTCATTTACCGATGACCCGGTTTCAAAATCAAAAGTATGGCAAACTCGTACTTACAAATCGCTGTCCTCGGGTCTCATCCCAGAATATCCATATTCATCATAACTAGATGTCCTAGAATAGTAAATAAATTAAATTGCAAAAAAACAAACAAACAAAAAACATCTCTTGAGAATTGGTTTAGTAACTTCAATTATTACATAGAGGATATTTGTTTGTTTGTGTGTAAGATGAAAATTGTATTTCATCGAGTGGGCTTTGAAACAGTATTCCCACGAGTGAGAATACTGTTTTTAAAGTTCACGACATGAAATAAAATTACATCTTACACAACAAACAAACAAATTGTTTTTTTTATTTTATGCTCAAAAACAAGTTAAAACGAGATTTCTATAATATTAACGTTAATATCAAAATCTGTTTTCCCCATTGAGAGCCCCATTTAGTCGGAATTTCTCATTAAAAACAAGAAGCCTTGAGCTGAAATATAAGTCCGACAATCAACGTTTAATGACGGTGATATTATTCATTTTATTACAAAAGTATGAATGATCGCTTGTTTTTATAATAAAGACAAACAATCCTTGTAGGAGAGAAAGTTCAACAATCCATCCATATTTCTGTTACTTACTTCGAATTTATAAATTAGACCTGGCTTTGTTAAATGTAAGCGGCAGCCGTTTTTTAAAGTTGTTTATTTCACGGGAGGAAAATAATTGTGTTTGATTCAGAGGGATATCATTTAGATTTGTTAGTCATACACCCTTTTAAAAGAAAGAAAACTTATTTGAGGATTGTTACAGACAAAAAATAAGTGTTAATAGATGTGAAAACATTAAAAAAGCAGCTAGGAAAATGGAAAACTTGGAAGCTGGCTCAGGAACGCTGGGTTGTTTTGCTTATTCTTCGAGCTGATAGCTGCCATTGCTTTTCATTTTTCATGAAGCATACGGCAGTTATTGCTCTTAGGATACTTTAATATGCCCAAATGTCATCAAGAGCAGTTTTGCATGTGGAAGGAACGTATTTTTCAGACTGTTAAAATGAAACAAAAAAATTAGAGACGAAATTTGGTGATTGGAATTTGAATGAATAAAAGTAAGTTTTCTTATTTTTATTACTTTTGACATTTAAGTTATCAATTTCAGCTTAAAAATAAAATTGAGGTACCACATGGGGAAAATCCTAAAAAAGTAGATTCGTCATTGAAAATGTGAACTTATATTTTGATAATTTTCACTGTGAGTTTATCAAATATAATTTTCACACATAAATCAGTAATCCACTGAAAAGCATAAAATAAATATTTGCCATTGTACTTTTCACATACATGTACTAAATTGGAGTGTGATCCAGAATGTTTCATATACTTTGAATTTAAACTTTCATGTTGTTTAAAGTATTCTGATATCTATTTTATAATGCTGTATATCATGGACATCAATAAATGAGATTTTGTTGCAAATTGAAAAATGATATTAATTTCATTTGGGTTTAAAAGTAAATTAAATAGGTAAATTTGTATAAATCCAAACGTAATTTATTTAATTAGTGTTGTATAAGTCATGAACAATTTTTCCTGACCAGAGGAGAATTTCACAGGTTTTAATTAATATTTATTGACAAATTTGTGGCTTTCAGTGTTTTTTTTTAAGCGGAAACATTCACATGCTGTACTCTATTCGGACATGTTTAGTTTCCAACATCATGTATTGTTTACTTAAGGTTCTGAATCAGCAAAATTCAATGTTTAATTTGACCATTTTTTCTCATTGCTGCCTTCACACCAGGACTCAATGAAAGCCATATAAAATATTGAACTGTTTGTCGTAAAGATAAACATTTTCACTAATTTGAAAAAAAAAAAGAATCTTAATTGAAAACTTTTATATGGTAACAATGTTCTTTTTTACCCGATGATTGATCTTAAAACGTTAAGAAAAGCGAGACTCGGAACTGTGTATTATTGAGTGTAACATTGTGGTGGAGCTATTGCTCAGGTGAGTTGAAACATCAAAATATCAAATAATTTTGCAGGCAACTTATAATTAGTAGGAATTTGCTCGTACTTACACAGCGCTTTTTTGGGTCCTTGCACCAGAAACGTCATGTTCAAAGCCGGATGTCCTGGAATGATAAACAAATTCACTTACAAAAAGTCATTTTTTAAGAATATTTGTTGGTCAACTACCTTTCATTTCTATACATGAGTGTGTCCTTGAAACGTTTCAAATACTTTCAATTTCAACTTCTACTCCGTTGGTTTGAAATTCCTGAACAATAATAAATGAGATAAAATATGTGTTTTAATTTATTTAATTGAAGGGTGGTGTGCAAATTGCAAATAATGTTCAGTATTTTAACTTTAGGGCTCGAAATCTTGAGAGAAATTTCTGTTTGGTTAGATATTAAATTACATAGATTCCTATGTGTAGATCAAAACGCATTTGGAGTTAGTTATTCAATTAGTGCGCAATTTCCCTTACAATAGGAGAACGTCACAGGTTTTAATAAAGTATTGACAGCATATTAATTTTGTCCACTGCCATTATTTTGGCAATAGCTCTTAAAAAAATATTACCAATTTTCCTTTCGGCCGTCTTTATGTTGTTTGGAATTTAGATTTCTGGCTTGCCAAGCAAACTTCTTATCACGAAGAATATTCTGCCTGGAAAGACAATGTGACATTAATGATAATGTTGTCTCAATGATATTCAAAATTTTTATACTGAAACACAGCAAAGACCTACAAAACGTCATGGATAGCATAGTTTCATAAACGGAATTCCGATAGGGCCATCGCGATTATACTTTATAACCCAGAGGTCGACAATGCGACAGTACGATGACGACAATACAACAGTGCGATGACGACAATGCGATAGTTCGATGGCGACAGTGCGATGACGACAGTACGATAATGCGACAATGCGATGATGACAATGCGATGGCGACAGTGTTATAACGCGATAAGGACTGTGCGATAATGCGATGGCAACACTACGATAGTGTGATAATAATATCGCTTTGTCGCCATCGCACTGGATCGTACTGTCGCCATCGCACTATCGCATTGTCGTCATCGTACTATCGCATTATGCCCTTGTCGTCACCGCATTTTCGCACTGTCGTCATTGCACTATCGTATTGTCGCCATCGCGTTTATCGCATTGTCGACTATCGCCTCCCGATGGACAATAATAAACTGACGGTGAAGAATATTGGAAAACAATTCTTTTTTTGTCAAAAGATTTATTTCTTCTTTTATTTTTATTTTTTCTTTATTTTTGTTTGTTTCTTTTTCGTATATTACAGACGTCTAAATAAAATTAAAATTAATTACTAAAAAGGAACATTTTACATAAAAAGATAGGGGGAAATACTTATATAAAATACACGGAAAATGTTGTAAACTGTGCGAAACTTAAAAAGAGTCGAAAGATTTCAGATGGAAATTATGTCATGTTGACATTTAAAAGATGCAGAAAATATTACATTCGTCAGAAGTACGTAGAGGATATTCAAATTTTTCCTACAAATACAGGATTTATTTTTATTGAGTGGTTTGAAAATAAATATGTCATGAGATGCGGTATTATCATATACTTTTTTCCTCTTTTTGACATTACAATTTCAAGGACTTGCCCTTAAATTTCCGATATCAGCCTGAGTCTAGAAGAAAGTAGGCCTGCAAGACACAAATGAAAATACGGAAAATAATTTCACTGCAGTGAAGAAAATGTTTACAGTGTAATACGGAAAATGAAAATAAATACGCATTTCATTTCTAATATATAAGTTTTCTCTATAAATCGAAATATATCATTACTAAATCTAACTGGTCAGCTTTGTTCAATAAAAATACTGCTATTTTACTACATTTTTAATTGGTCATCAGTGGTTTTATTGTTTTGTAAGATGTAAAATTTATTATATTAACTAACAGTGTAAAATGAGGAAAGTACATCTAAACATTACCTTCTCTGTATATCTAAAAAAGTGGTCAGAAATTTTCACTGTAAGTTTAACTGGTCATCAGATTGTTCTATATGTTAAACTGGTCAGCAGACTTTACTATATGTTTAACTGGTCAGCAGTTTTTTGAATAATGTATAGAGTACGTACTATCTGCAAACCGTATAGAAAAAGAAGAAAATACGGCAAAAAACCACTTACGCAAATTCTTATATATTTTAGTTTCTTGGCAATAGTTTAATTGGTTTGCGAGATGTAGATTTTTTTGTATTTACTAAGATCACAATATAAATTTCACGGCAAAATAACATTTTTTTCTAGATATCTAATTGGTCAACAGTTAACTGGTCAACATATTTTACTATATGTTCACCTTTTACCTCATTTAGACGCCTTTTCACCCAATCCCTTTTGAGGCCTCAAATAGTGAAAACAATTTATGTTTTTAATCTTCCAAACACTTGTATTCGTTTGAAAAATGTTATTAAAAATAGTGATCACATTTTCGGCGTCGCCCTCTCATCTAAAAGATGCATCAGGGGTGCCGGTGTCGCTCTTTTGTTCATGGTGGTTTGAAGGGGGACTGCCGCCCAACTCAACTCCAAGAAAATTTTGGACTTGTGAAAGGCTAACAATGGCATCAGTTCGATCTTAAGGTAACGTTCAACCAACGCTGAATAGCCTTTCACTCTATCCCAATCCGATTGAGAAGTTGTAGCCTTTTTGAAATCAGTTTTGATGGAAAAAATCAACACAACATAATGATTTTGAAATGTCCCCTCGTTGCTATGGTAACAGGAAATTTAAGATTGAGCATACCGTTGCAAAGGCTATGGTCCAGTTAACATTTGTGCCAAGTGTGATAAGTATTAAATCATTTATATAGTTTCATAGCAAAAGCCGTCCGGTTAGGTCAATAGGTAGTGTTTTGGATTGTGATTCGGGCGACCCGGGATCGACGGCGCAGTTTACTTTTGTTGCGATTGATCATGAAATCTTTTCTATGGTCATTCGCACTGTACCCCTGCTCTGGTATGTACAGAAGTTTCAGTTCCTTGCGAAAGTGAAGGCAACTATCACTGGTGAACTGATTGACAGCCTGTCCAGGAACGATGCGTTGGCTGAACTGTGCTCTGGTTAATTCAAAATGGCTTATCCGGAGATCCGGAGTGAAAACTATCAACACCACCACCAGTTTCATAGCAATTTGAACTAGTGTAACAGAAGGCTTTAAATGAAAACAGCCATTTTTCACAAAATGCTTCTGCGGTAATGGGTTAACTGGTCAGCATATGCTCTTATACATGTGTACCTAATGTACAGTACACCTTAAATCTGCTGACAATATAGTATAGGAAGAAAATATGGCATAAACCAAAAAACAATTTAACTGACATTGCAAAATAATTTAGTATTTCACGGCAAATATTATTTTTCTCTGTACATCGGCAGTTTCTCAGAAATTAGCTAAAATCATGTCGGCTATGTATAAAAAACAAATGAACACAGAATCAATCATGTCTTAAATGTTTTGTTTATTTAATCATATTTATTTACTATCATTAAGAAATGATAAAGCACTATGTCCACCAAACACCAAAAAAGGCCCCATCTTAGATATTGATAAAAACCTAAAAGAGCGTCAATTTGGTAGGTAGTTGGTAGTTGGATATTTGAATAACCAACTACCTACTAGTTGGTAGTTGGTAATTCGAACTTTGCATGTTTCCTTCTAAAAAAAAGAATCCGGAATAAATATAATGGATATACAATAGCATGATAGATGTGTTTTTCAACACCTCACCAGCGTAATCAGAATATGCTGACCCGTTAAACTTAAAGTACAATCTGCTGTTAAGTTAATTAAAAAGCTTATAGTATACAATGCTGACCACTTAATATATGTTTTTTTAACTTGGGACTGGAATGTATACACCCAACAATGCTCTGTATGGGGAATTAGCCTGGCAACCCCCAAATGTAAGGCAGTGGAAGTCTGTTTCTCAGCAATGGTATAAGCTTAGGACAAAGGATGCTTTAAGAATAAATAATAAGATATTTAAATTTTGTAATAGTAGAAGCAATAATAAATGTAAAATTTGGCAATACCAATTTAAGTGTAATTTGTCAAATATAAATTTAATGGAAATGACGGATAGATATGATACATTTTTACAAAGGAATTTCATTAATAGGATATTGAATGCTTCTATGGAAGTTTTCATTAGTTCTAGGCACACACATATTAATAGTGCGGTTGGTCCTTCGAGGCAAGGTAGAAATAAGTTAAGAAATTATAGATTATATAAAACAAGTTATGAGACTGAAGAATATGTTAAAGCACATATGTCTAAAAGGCAGTGATCAGCATAAGCATAATTCAGACGTGGTGTTGCTCCAATTAGATTGGAGACCGGGAGATATGAAAACATCCAAGAGAACGCAAGATTATGCCCGATATGTGAACTCTCAACTGAAAACGAGATGTATGTTCTGTTCGAATGCTTTGCCTATCATGATCTAAGACAGATATTAATTTCTAAATCCATGGAAATAGAGATAATAACTTTGTTAATCTCAATAACGAGTAAAAACTTATTTTTGTTCTCTCCAACAAGGATATTGTAAGGGAAACTGCCAAAACCTGTTGCGCTTTTTTAAAAGAATGAAATTATTTGTTATATGAATAACATTTATCTAACAGTATTATTTGTAATTTTAGTAATACTTCTACTTTTACTTACTTGGTGTTATTTTATGTGTTACTTACAATAACATTTTTATGTTTTAGTTAACTAACATTTATGGCAGACTAATTATTATTAACCTTTGTTAATTAATTTTAGTTTACTCTGATTAAAGTTAGACCCATATTTTAAACCAGCTTCCAGATAACAGGACATTTTGTCAGGGTATTGAGTTGTCAAAGTTTTATAAGACTTTTAGGTAGATTTTATTAACATATTAGCAAGGGCATGTTACTTTTTACTGTTGATATTTAGATAATGTATAAGTTATAAGTTAAATAAGCATGAAAGGAGAGTTAACTATTCAGTAGATATTGGAAGTATTTGCAATATGGGCTGAGGAGTTGTATCCCCTGTCACTATGTAGTCTCTTATAATTCTTATCAGAATGACCATACAGGCATTTTTATGATTTTAGGTTTTACAATTTGTAATTGAAATGTTGCAAATGTTATGTATGGATGAGACTTTCATAAAGATTGTATATATATGTGAGATATATAGACAACAATTTGTTTTGACGTAAATTTCTTTTACTTTTTTTAAATGTTAGTAATATAATAAATTCTACATCTTACAAAACAATAAAACCACTGATGATTAATAACAATTTAAGAGATATTACTTAAGTTATTTTAGCAATATTATTATAGTAACAAGCGCTGACCAGTTAGATTTATTTATCATGAAATATATTTGTATTTGACGAGAAAATTAATGTATCACTGACCAATTAAATACAAGCAATTATCATAGTATTGCAAGCAATCCATAAGTCCCCTACCGGTTAGAACCCCAGCAACATTCTGAAGGGCCATTGGCCATTCACTTATGTTTCTATTTTAAGTAAATTTGTTGAAAAAGTTCTTTAAAAGTGATCACAGGAAACAGTTTTTATGTACAGACAGACAGACGGACTGAAGGACACTCCAAAGTTATTTTTTAAACATCCTTGTTATCAAAATATAACATTTTTAAAAAGGAGATAACTCTTGAAATAAAGATGCAAGATGTCATACATGATGTGAGTGTAACAAAGAACAATTAGTAATGAAGGTATGAATAATGAATGTTTATTTTGAATTTGAAGTAAATGAAAGTTAAAAGAACGAATAGGAAAAAATAAAAGTTCAAGGAGGAGATTATTTTGGAAATATGGATGCTAGATTTATAAACCTTGTCATAATTATTATTATGATGTGGGAGTTTGAAGAAAATCCTATCATGATTGAAGAAGTTGGAGTAAAAATTACCAATTTCCCAAAAAAAGTCTAAGTTCAAAAGGGGCATATTTCTGGAAATAGTCTTGCTAGAGTATTGAACTTTCTCACAAATGTTGAGTGATAATAAGAAACATTTATATGAAGTTTGAAGTAGATACATTCAGAAAAAAGAAGTTATTAAAAAAAAAACAATATATTTTTCATGAAAATTTTAAGTTCAAGGGAGGTAATTCTGATAAATTTTGTCCTACAGTTGTGAACCTTGTCACATATGATGTGGTTGATGACTAGCAACTTATATTTAAAGTTTGAAGAAAATACCTTAAGAAATAAACAACTTATAGTGAAAATAACTTAAAAACTAGAATCAGAAATCTTGAAATTCAGTCTATTTGTTGCCACAGCAACCAGAATTTTCAACATAGGAAGATAAGAAAAGGATGTTCATAATTTCCATACTGCCATCTACCCATATGTCAAGTTTTATAAAAATATTTTCAATACTTTTAGCGTTATCACTGGATCCAGGTTATGTGTAAATTTTGCCATATTTTCAGTCTATTTGTTGCCATAGCAACCACAATTTTCAACAAAGGAAGGAAAAAAGACCTGCATAATCTCCATACTGCCATCTATCTATATATCAAGTTTCATAAAAATATTTTCAGTACTTTTTGAGTTATCGCAGGATCCAGGTTATGTGTAAAATTTGCCATATTTTCAGTCTATTTGTTGCCATCGCAACCAGAATTTTCAGCATAGGGAAAAAAGAAAAAGACGTGCATAATCTCCATACTGCCATCTATCCATATATCAAGTTTCATTTAAATATTTTTAGTACTTTTTGTGTTATCGCGGGATCCAGGCTATGTGTAAAATTTGCCATATTTTCAGTCTATTTGTTGCCATAGAGACCAGAATTTTCAACAAAGGAAGAAAAGAAAAAGACGTGCATAATCTCCATACTGCCATCTATCCATATATCAAGTGTCATAAAAATATTTTCAGTACTTTTTGAGTAATCGCAGGATCCAGGTTATGTGTAAAATTTGCCATATTTTCAGTCTATTTGTTGCCTTCGCAACCAGAATTTTCAGCATAGGAAAAAAAGAAAAAGACGTGCATAATCTCCATACTGCCATTTATCTATATATCAAGTTTCATTTAAATATTTTCAGTACTTTTTGTGTTATCGCGGGATCCAGGCTATGTTTAAAATTTGCCATATTTTCAGTCTATATGTTGCCATAGAGACCAGAATTTTCAACAAAGGAAGAAAAGAAAAAGACGTGCATAATTTCCATACTGCCATCTATCCATATATCAAGTTTCATTAAAATATTTTCAGTACTTTTTGCGTTATCGCGGGATCCAGTTTTGTGGACGGAGGGACGGACTGACGGACGGACAGACGGACGGACTTTCTCACAGGACAGTAATTATGTGGCTACTCTATTGTTCTCTCTATTGTTCTTTTAGCCACGCAAAAGAAAATAGCCACATAAAAGCATTACGGAATGAATGACATCAAAGAGAAAGAACAGTTACCTATTGTCCCTCTAGCCACATAATTACTCTCCTGTGAGTGCGGACTGACGGACGGACGGACAGACGTACAGACGGACGGTCAACCTAAAGTCTCATCCGGTAAACCGGTAGGGGACTAATAAGGAATCTTTTTATTTTATATTTTATACAAACTATTCAAATCTACATTATTATCATTACCATTTTCAAATTCACAATTCTATTTTTGTACATATTTTTGTAATATGATCTATGAATATAATTTGTCTTTTTAATATAGGTAATAAATAATATTTTTTTTTCTTTCCATCTTTTAAATCTCAACATAACATCATTTTCTTCATTAACCGATGACCCGGTTTCAAAATCAAAAGAATAGCAAACTCGTACTTACAAATCGCTGTCCTCGGGTGTCATCCCAGAATATCCATATTCATCATAACTAGATGTTCTAGAATAACAAATAAATTAAATTGCAAACAAAAAACAAAAACAACAAAAAACATCTCTTGAGAATGTTTGGTTTAGTAACTTTAATTATTACATAGAGGATATTTGTTTGTTTGTGTGTAAGATGAAATAAAATAACATCTTACACAACAAACAAACAAATTTTCTTTTTATTCTATGCTTAAAAACAAGTTAAAACGAAATTTCTATAACATTAACGTTAATATCAAAATCTGTTTTCCCCATTGTGAGCCCAATTTAGTCGGAATTTCTCATTAAAAACAAGAAGCCTTGAGCTGAAATATAAGTCCGTCAATCAACATTTAATGACGGTGATATTATTCATTTTATTAAAAAGTATGAATGATCGCTTGTTTAAATAATAAAAACAAACCATTCTTGTAGGAGAAAAATATAATATATAATTTTCACACATAAATCAGTAATCCACTGAAAAGCATAAAATAAATATTTGCCACTTTTCACATACATGTACTAAATTGGCGTGTGATCCAGAATGTTTCATATACTTTGAATTTAAACTTTCATGTTGTTTAAAGTATTCTGATATCTATTTCATAATGCTGTACATGATGGACATCAATAAATGAGATTTTGTTGCAAATTGAAAAATTATATTAATTTCATTTATAAAATAGGTAACTTTGTATAAATCCAAACGTATTTGGATAAATTCATTTAACTAGTGTTGTAAAAGTCATGAACAATTTTTCCTGACCAGAGGAGAATTTCACAGGTTTTAATTAATATTTATTGACAAAGTTGTGGCTTTCAGTGTTTTTTTAAGCGAAAACATTCACATGCTGTACTCTATTCGGACAAGTTTAGTTTCCACCATCATGTATTGTTAACTTAAGGTTCAGAATCAGCAAAATTAAATGTTTAATTTTATTAATTGCCATTTTTTGCGGAAGCTGTTTAAGCAATTTGACCATTTTTTTCTCATCGCTGCCTTCACACCAGGACTTAATGAAAGCCATATTAAATATTGAACTGATAGTGCCATCGCGATTATACTTTATAACCCAGAGGTCGACAATGCGACAGTGCGATGACAACAATACGACAGTGCCATGACGACAATGCGATAGTTCGATGGCGACAGTGCGATGACGACAGTACGATAATGCGACAATGCGATGATGAAAATGCGATGGCGACAGTGTTATAACGCGACAAGGACTGTGCGATAATGCGATGGCAACACTACGATAGTGCGATAATAATATAGCTTTGTCGCCATCGCACTGGATCGTACTGTCGCCATCGCACTATCGCATTGTCGACATCGTACTAAAAACGTCTATATAAAATTATTTATTACTAAAAAGTAACATTTTACATCAAAAGATAGGGGGAAATTGGTTTGCGAGATGTAGATTTTTTTTTGTATTTACTAAGATCACAATATAAATTTCACAGCAAAATAACATTTTCTCTAGATATCTAATTGGTCAACAGTTTTCACTGTAAGTATAACTGGTCAAAAGATTTTACAATATGTTTACCTTTTACCTCATTTAGACGCCTTTTCACCCAATCCCTTTTGAGGCCTCAAATAGTGAAAACAATGTCCTATTTCATCCTCCAAACACTTGTATTCGTTCGAAAAATGTTATTACAAATAGTGATCACTTTTTTCGGCGTCGCCCTCTCATCTAAAAGATGCATCAGGGGTGCCGGTGTCGCTCTTTTCTTCGTGGTGGTTTGAAGGGGGACTGCCGCCCAACTCAACTCCAAGAAAATTTTGGACTTGTGAAAGGCTCACAATGGCATCAGTTCGATCTTAAGGTAACGTGTAACCAACGCTGAAAAGCCTTTCACTCTATCCCAATCCGATTGAGAAGTTGCAGCACTTTGAAATCAGTTTTGATGGAAAAAATCAACAGAACATAGTGATTTTGAAATGTCCCCTCGTTGCTATGGTAACAGGAAATTTAAGATTGAGCATACCGTTGCAAAGGCTATGGTCCTGTTAACATTTGTGCCAAGTGTGATAAGTATTAAATCATTTATATAGTTTCATAGCAAAAGCCGTCCGATTAGGTCAATAGGTAGTGTTTTGGATTGTGATTCGGGCGACCCGGGTTCGACGGCGCCGTTTACTTTTGTTGCGATTGATCATGAAATCTTTTCTATGGTCATTCGCACTGTACCCCTGCTCTGGTATGTACAGAAGTTTCAGTTCCTTGCGAAAGTGAAGGCAACACTGGTGAACTGATTGACAGCCTGTCCAGGAACGATGCGTTGGCTGAACTGTGCTCTGGTAAATTCAAAATGGCTTTTCCGGAGATCCGGAGTAAAAACTATCAACACCACCACCAGTTTCATAGCAATTTGAACTTGAACACAGAAGGCTTTAAATGAAAACAGCCATTTTTCAGCAAATGCTTCTGCGGTAATGGGTTAACTGGTCAGCATATGCTCTTATACATGTGTACCTAATGTACAGTACACCTTAAATCTGCTAACAATATAGTATAGGAAGAAAATATGGCATAAACCAAAAAACAATTTAACTGACATTGCAAAATAATTTAGTATTTCACGGCAAACATTATTTTCCTCTGTACATCGGCAGTTTCTCAGAGATGAGCTAAAATCACTTTGGCTATGTATAAAACAAATGAACACAGAATCAATCATATCTTAAATGTTTTGTTTATTTAATCATATTTATTTACTATTATTAAGAAATGATAAAGCACTATGTCCACCAAACACCAAAAAAGGCCCCATCTTAGATATTGATAAAAACATAAAAGAGCGTCAATTTGGTAGGATAGTAGTTGGATATTTGAATAAGCAACTACCTACTAGTTGGTGGTTGGTAATTCGAACTTTGCATGTTTCCTTCTAAAAAAAAGAATCCGGAATAAATATAATGGATATACAATAGCATGATAGGTGTGTTTTTCAACATTGAAACATCTCACCAGCGTAATCAGAATATGCTGACCCGTTAAACTTATAGTACAATCTGCTGTTAAGTTAATTAAAAAACTTATAGTATAAATTGCTGACCACTTATGTTTTTTTAACTTGGGACTGGAAAGTATACACCCAACAATGCTCTGTATGGGGAATTAGCCTGGCAACCCCCACATGTAAGGCAGTGGAAGTCTGTTTCTCAGCAATGGTATAGACTTAGGACAATGGATGCTTTTAGAATAAATCATAAGATATTTAAATGTTGTAATAGTAGAAGCAATAACAAATGTAAAATTTGGCAAAACCAATTTAAGTGTAATTTGTCAAATATATACTTAATGGAAATGACAGATGGATATGATACATTTTTACAAAGGAATTTCATTGATAGGATATTGAATGCTTCTATGGAAGTTTTCATAAGTTCTTGGCACACACATATTAATAGTGAGGTTAGTCCTTCGAGACAGGGTAGAAATAACTTAAGAAATTATAGATTATATAAAACAAGCTATGAGACTGAAGAATATGTTAAATCACATATGTCTAAAAGTCAGTGATCAGCATGAGCATAATTCAGACGTGGTGTTGCTCCAATTAAATTGGAGACCGGGAGATATGAAAACATCCAAGAGAACGCAAGATTATGCCCGACATGTAAACTCTCAATTGAAAATGAGATTCATGTTCTGTTCGAATGCTTTGCCTACCATGATCTAAGACAGATGTTAATTTCTAAATCCATGGAAATAGATAATAACTTTGTTAATCTCAATAACGAGTAAAAATGTTTGTTCTCTCCAACAAGGATATTGTAAGGGAAACTGCCAAAACCTGGTGCACTATTTTAAAAGAATGAAATAATTTGTTATATAAATAACATTTATCTAACATTATTATTTGTAATTTTAGTAATACTTCTTCTTTTACTTACTTGATGTTATTTTATGTGTAACTTACAATAAAATTTTTATATTTTAGTTAACTAACATTTATGGCAGACTAAAGTACCTTTGTTAATTAATTTTAGTTTACTCTGATTAAAGTTAGGCCCCTATTTTAAACCAGCTTCCAGATAACAGGACATTTTGTCAGGGTATTGAGTTGTCAAAGTTTTATAAGACTTTTAAGTAGATTTTATTAACATATTAGCAAGGGTATGTTACTTTTTACTGTTGATATTTAGATAATGTATAAGTTATAAGTTAAATAAGAATGAAAAGAGAGGTAACTATTCAGTAGATATTTGAAGTATTTGCAATATGGGCTGAGGAGTTGTATCCCCTGTCACTATGTAGTCTCTTATAATTCTTATCAGAATGACCATACAGGCATTTTTATGATTTTAGGTTTTACAATTTGTAATTGTAATGTTGCAAATGTTATGTATGGATGAGACTTTCATAAAGATTGTATATATATGTGAGATATATAGACAAAAATTTGTTTTGACGTAAATTTCTTTTTACTTTTTTTTTAAATGTTAGTAATATAATAAATTCTACATCTTACAAAACAATAAAAGCACTGATGACTAATAACAATTTAAAAGATATTACTTAAGTTATTTGAGCAGTATTAATATAGTAACCAGTGCTGATCAGTTAGATTTATTAATCATGAAATATCTTTGTATTTGTCGAGAAAACTATTGTATCACTGACCAATTAAATATAAGGAATCTTTTTATTTTATATTTTATTCAGACTATTCAAATCTACATTATTATCATTACCATTTTCATTACACAATAATACATTTGTACATATTTTTGTAATATGATCTATGAATATTATTTGTCTTTTTAATATAGGTAATAAACAATAATTCTTTCTTTTCATCTTTTAAATCTCAACATAACATCATTTTCTTCTGAAATATTTCTACTATACCAAAAATTCACACTATGGCGCCGTTATATGTCGCAAAGCCGCTAAATGTCGCACTTGCCGCTAAATGTCGCACCATTGCCGCACGAATATCCCTTACCGTTAAATGTCGCAGCATAGCCGTTAATATCGCAAGATGTAATATTATATTGAACTCAAG